TACATATCACGTTTGTAAATGCAAGTGCAGAAATAAGCAACAAAAAGTAGACAGTACACTTCAATAACTGGTATCCTTCCCAAAAAGATTCGGACAAATGTATTTACTTCATATATGGCGATTGTTTCGGCTTCTGATCGGAATATTAAAGCTATTATCCAAGCTGCTGCCAGCACATCGATCCCAAATTTGCAGCAGACGATCCTTTGGTGCAGCCACTGGATGCTTCTATAGATTGAGTAGTTGGTGATTGTTAGGTGATCTTTATTCGACTCAGCTGAATACATGTGTAAAAATTTAGCGGCTACGAGGTAATTGTGAAAATGAAGGCTGACAAGACAGCTGTAGAGCCACAACAAGTACTCAAGAATGAATGGTCATTATAGAAAATATGTCAAGTCTTTGAACCCTCTAACGATACTGTAGCAGGTGAACGAAGAAAACGCGTTGACAGGAATTCTATCGAGTGTTTTGATACGACGAATTCAAGATGCATGTCAAGCTCAAAAACACATCTAAATTTGGATTAGACTTGCATGGTCCACAAGGAACGATATTTTCTGCACGTGGTTCGCAACCGCGGGTGTGTCCATGATGGATGGAAGATGGAAGGCATATAGAGTACAAATGTGAAATGAAACTAAGGAAGGTGCAAATTGTATTTTGTGTGAAGGTAAGCTCGCCTACTCATCACAAAAAATCACCATCGTCGAGCTTCCCCATTGAAAACTGGACGATCTTCGCATTGCGACTCAATTGATGGCCGTAGCAATTGTTCAACAGACCCCCAGAAGGTTGTGGTGAACAATGGACATTCCCGTGAAGTCGGGTCCGAAGTCGACGATGATTGAGTTGACCGCGACCTGACTTTTTGTTTCTGCCCGCGCACGATGTACACTGTCTTTAGTCTGCGTTTTCCAGGTTTTGCATATATCACTTGGTCATACTTGGTGGGCGATTTGGACTATTTCCAGTATGGTTGAAACCGTTGTTGCATAGTATAGTCTAACGGTTTCGGCAGAATGTTTGTAATCTGTTATGATAGAAGCTGAGTGCGCGTTTTGCTGTTACAGATTTCGTGGTCTGCCTGGATTGTGTGATCAAATATCTCGCTGCTGTCCGAAAACCGTTGCTAATACAGCGAAGCAGTTCGTCGTCAAAAATTTTTGCCAACATCGCTTGCCGATGGTCATAGCTTTATTTTGAAATTTGCACTTCATAGAAGATCTTTGGCAAAATTTATATGCTGGACGCCAGATTTTAACATGTACATTTTTGACCACATGACCAGACCGAACGCATATGTCGCGAAGTGGCAGATAGCCCTCTACGCACTTGCGCAAGGAGATCGCGGTGCTGGAACAAAAAGCTCCTAGTCATTGACTTTCTTAGCCCGGTAATGCTGTTCATGCATCTACCGGCTTTGTCCCGTTTTATGAATGGTTTGACCAAAGCTTTCGTCACTTCAACACCACCTTTGCTCCGATCTTGATAACGGGGGCTATCGGTACGATTCGACTAGCTAATATTGGCCCGGCTACAAATCATAGCACAACCACAAATTTTATCTTTCTGATACGGGATGTCAAGCGTTGTGTGCACGAATCTATCGCTGAAAGCCAGAATATACAAGAGCAACGCACTGATACGCAAATCTGTTATAGATGCAAAAAAAATTTTGAGCGCTGTAAACCTACTCAAACGCGTAGTGTATGCAGTCTATATGACTAAGTTGCAAATTCGCTACATGGGACCGCTTTCGGCTGTAATCAGAGAGGGAATGAGCTACTCCCAAAATCTTGAAACGAATGCGAGCACATCCTGTGTTCTTCAAGGGCTGGCTGAAGCCATATCACGATCTCGCTCTAACGAGTCATTTGGCAGTCAAGTGCTGCGTTCAAAACGTAGAAATTTTCAACCATCCCCTACAAATCGGCAGACTTTGATTCTAGGGCTGAGAAACAGCTCTCATCCGCAAAGGGGACTCCGTAATGCCATCGCTTCGCCATAAACAATAAAGCTCACGAGGGCTAGCCACTGAAGTGACACCGCTCGATCGGCATGGGACGACCGATTTTTGCGCGGGAAGGATAGAAGACTGACAGGATCGCCAGGGCTGTGACCAGTATTTAGAAAAACGGAAGAGTAACTAAGAACATGGGGGATGGATACCCACACCATCAAGTTTTCTCCAGCGTTGTATCCATAACGCCTTGGCGTACACTCTGTCTTCAAGTTCTGGGAAAAGTAGCCGATTAGGGCAACACGACGCAAAACACTTTCAACTAACGAGTTTGGTCCGTTTTTTTCCAATTTTGAGACTTGACTGTTCACCGTAGCAGCAGCTCATGAAGATGGGCTATCAAAAGCATGAACTTGGGATGATGAGCATCCGCGTCAACTTTGAATGTCGCAAAGTCAAACATCAAACGACATTATAGTCTGAGACCTGCTTCTCTGCATCAAAATTAGAAAGCTGCGGGTAATGTCAGACGACGAGTTATTCTGATCGAGTGCGTGACATAAGTGCGATATTCGTAGGTACATTCGTCAGCGTCCAAACCCGAAGTACAATCATCGTTGAAGGTACGGAGCTATCTGAGACCACGACCTCTGCTGACCTACGCTGGCGGTTTTTACGAGGAGTTCAAACCAGGAGGTTTAGACCGAGCGCTCCCTTTGCTCTATGTTTGGGCATGAAGCCTGCATGTAAAGGCGTGCAAGAGCTCCACGACGGTGAGGCGGGCAATTTTTTATAGACTAATGTTAGAATTTTCGACGCGATGGGGTCTGCAAAAGTTGTTGCAACTTTGATGCTTGCAGACTGACAAGCTCGGCTTGAAAATCCAGTTCAATGGATACGAGCAGAATATCGTTGCGAGCCTGTCGTGTCCCTTTTCAACGGGCATGAGCATTCTTTGAAGAACATGTCGGCTTCCTCACCTGAAATGGCGCAAGGTCAAGGCTCGAACCTGCTCTAAAGGCTTGTTGAGCTAGCGCTTACTATTGTGCAATGCTATCAGAAGACAAAATTCAAGTGAGCTCTTCTGTGGTTCACATTTTGGTGGGTAGACTGTAACATATTAGTTATTGTATAATGGTGTACGTACACATCACACTTTTGCGCAATGAACATGAATATCAAAGCACTAGAATGGTACGAAGCACGCTGGAATTCCGTGTGAGTCAAGTCGTGGGACGCGTGGGCTATAATCCTCACGTCATGCATGACATAATTTTTGTGGAGGGAAGTTAGACATATATAATATATAAACTTCAACTGGGCCTACTTCTATATATATGTTACTCTGAAGGGCAAGCTAAGTACTTTCTCACTTTAGATGATTGCGGTCCTGCTCTTAAATTACCAAATATTTTATCTATCACAATAAATTGATGCATGATCCGAGGCTAGTAGCACACGTACCGTACGAAGTCTCACCACCCCACCAAGTATAATATTTCATCATCGTACTTCATTCTGTTATTTCTGAGCCTCGTTTTAAGTCCGAATGACGATAGCGTAATGTTTACGTACACCAGAATTGGATTCTTAGTCCATAACACAGTTAAAGAATTCTTTACCGAAGCCTCGTAAATTACAATTGACAGTGTATATAGTATAAAAACAGGCTAAAAATGATACAGAAAATAAGTCTGCATCAGGATCTATTACAACAAAATTTATAGACGATGCATGATGTGTGCTAGCAGCGTTGGCCTCTTGAGATATTGCCCGAAGTAAGCTATATTATATTCACCAGAGTTCTGGCATATGACACAATATGGAATCTCATAGCAAAAATTCGATCGTCGAAAGGACATCGTACTTTTCAGTTTGGAAATGCCTTAGGGGATAGGCTGCTTGATGCTGTGCGCTTGGAGTCTTTTTTTTATTGTGGTAGTTTTAGCGAGGGCAGTAGCGACACCGCGATACATTCTCTAAGGAGATTAAAGTGTCTCTGCATATTGTTCCACGCATAACGAAACATCGTCGTGAGGTTATGTTTTAAGATTCAGAATATATTGAGGACCTAAGCGTTGTTGGGACACTTTGGATTGCTTAGGTAAAGTATGTACTGCTTTCTCGTTACCATATGCTGAAACAGTGCTCAACCAGAACATGACCTCAGCAATATACTGACCTGGCAGCAATGAAGCGTACGAATTGTCGGAAGCATTTATCTTGATATCAAGGTTTGGCAGTCAGATTTCGGATCGGGTTGCTTTGGATTTAACAGCTTCGGAGATTGCAGTGTGATCATGGCAATTTCAAATGCATTATGCAACGGGCATACTGCAGCAGCTAAAGATCACCAGTATGTAAAATGCGCTTGATCTGGACGTTTAGACCTGAGGTTACTCATCATTTGTAGTCGTTTGTTCCGCATCCACTGAAACATTATTCAGAACGCAAATAATCGGGTCGTATATCAAAAACACTTATCCTTCATCTCAGTGATCAAATTTTGCCTGGAATCAAAGGTACACTGATAATGCATGCGCGACAGTTCTTTTTCAGCTATTTTGTGATCGATTCGATTACAAGTTCCACTTGATGAGGAATACACCAAACCCGAAGGATATTATTTCTTTCAGCTTCTTAATACAAGTGACGACGCCAGAATGTCGCTCGGTTATCGTGTTTGCTCCATCACAACTGACGGAGAGCGATTTATCACGCCAGCCAGTTGACAAAACATCCAGCATTCAAACAAATTGAGTGAATAAGTTTTTGGATGTGTCGGTCGTGAAGAAAGGGACAGCAGTGGTGCAGTGGGTATGTAGTACACCCAAAATGCATCCTCAAATGCAAACATTAATGAAAGACAGTTTGAAGTGTGTATTGCAATCAGCAGCGATCGAGAATCACCATGTAATCTGTCAGCGAGAATGTTGTATAATGTGTTCGGATTCAAGTCGACAGTATCCGAGCAAATAGTCCTACTGCATGTTCACTATTGAGCTTGGCATTCTTTGTGTGAATGTGATGATTTGTGATGACGCGAGCAGTTGAACGGAAAGACAGCCCGACTGGTATATGATTGACTGCGAGAAGAAATCGCAATGGAATCAGACTTTCCACATCATAATATCCGTCAGAATGCCTGTGCAATACTTTTTAAGCATTCGCTTTGGTAATTGGCTCAGTTGATTCATCTACCGCGGTCGTCTACTGGGTGAAACAGAATTGGCAATTTTCAAATTCGCTTTGAGGATCAAAATTGAAAGTTCAAGATACTCTGCATTCAGTAAATAAAGGAATACATGGAGCCTTTATTGTCGCTGTTTAGGGATTGTCATTTCTCCGGATGATGCTCCCACATCATTGGATGCTGACTTTGTAGCGCTGACGAAAAAGTACTGGACGAAAAGGACGTATATAGATCATGCTAGTCTCTGTGCGGCGTCGCTCCAAATTGGATTCTTCTCGAGCTGCACCGCCTTTGTAGACATTAAAAAGCATGGAAACATGTCCAATCTCCCGTCAGGTTTCGGATTGTGACTTATAAAGCATATTTAGTTCCGCGTTGCTTCTGGAAAGGGGTGACCCGTTTTGTAAATGATCCCATAGCAAGTACCACGGCCAGACGAGCAAATTAAACGGTCAGCCCGCTTCGGGAAACGTCGACAGCAACCTCACACCCAGCTTGGTGCTTAGGATTTAGGCTTCTTATGTACAGTTATCATCCCTAAGCCCACACCTTCATCTTGGCCGCTTAGTGCGGACTTATCTGACGGTTGCAGGCTTAGCGCTTTTCAGTCTATCGTCTCCGCATTTTATAAAATGGAGACATATTCGCGCTGTCAGAACAAGGGAGGAGGGGAAGGCAGCACCGTAGCGAGGCTCAACGCATCAAAATTTTTGAAAAATTGGAGTTGCCAGCCGGCATAAAAACTTTCAGGCGGATCTCAGCGAGAGAGTATGGTGTTGGTGACAACAGCTCGTAATAAGATGACTGCAACAAAGAAAATTAGTCCTCGAAAAATATATGTTACAGTGAGAAAGAAAACAATCGGAAAACCACAGCACTTAGCATTAGAAGACAAACTTGACAAGTACTTTGTAGGTTGCCAAAGTCATTCTAATGAGCTGCCGCCTGCAAATAGTGATAGTCAAAGCAAAATAAAAAGCGGATCTGATGGCTGATCGCGAGAAATTTGAGGCTAGTACCGAGATTTTCGTTATCAGAGGACAACTGCAATCCATTTCACTTCAAATCGAAGACGATGGAATCAAATCAAACAACTCTCAGACTCCATAAGCATTGAAAAAAAGGTGAGGAGATATATAAAAAATATTACTTAAGTTGCGTCTATAAAATGGATGAAACAGGTTTATTCTTGCGCTTGCTGCCTCGCTATATTGTTTCGTGTCCATCTGAAGATCTGATTACTAGAAGAGGCAAGAAAATTTCGAAGAAAAGGTTACGTCCATTGTTTGTCGCAATGCAGACGAGACTGAGCAAATTCCTGTGGCAATTATTAGGATAGCCAACACCCGCTAGCAAATCTGGGCGGCAATGACTAGTAACAAAGTTTGATCAAAGTAGGCATTGGTCGGCGGTGATGACTTATGGCAATGGTATGAAGAAGTTTCCGACCGTTTCTTTTACGCAGAACGGACTGGAAGAGGATTCAAATCCGATATCTTGTGATGCTGCGGGGATACTCCGACTCCAAGAACTCGTGGAAGTTTGATGTGCCACTCTGCCCAGACGTTGGGGGGACTTATGATCAGAGGGATCATGACGTGTTGGTAATGTACAATCTCAGCCTTCCGAAAAAATGGAATAAAAAGTATCCTAAACGTTAATCATAGAAACAGCCAATGGACTCGCTACAACGAAAAAGCGCTACAAATTGATACTGATGATTTTTTTTTTCTATAATGATCTGACAAGTGATCTCAAAATTTGTAAAGAAACAGACGCTGCCAAATTGATACGAGGCGCAGCGGGAGTGAATTCCGAGAACCAGCCTTTCAGCTGGACGCGGCCAATTATGTTGTCAGAGCATGAAGTGCTATCTCCGCGGATACATAAAAGAATTGCCTTGAAAAAGCAGATTTACTTCCTAAATTTTGTGCAGGAAGAAAGACAATTGATGAAGGAAAAAGCGAGGATGGCATGGTAAATGATTTAGTCTCGGTTATGGAGAGCTGCACTATTGCAAATCAATGGATCGATTCAAAATCTCATCTTCCAAAACAGCGTCGTAAGTCTTTGGGTTTGAATGAACCCAATTCTGAAATGTAGTAACAAGCGAGTTTTAAAGATACCGAGAACAATTTAAAATTGACAAAGAAATTGTAGATTAATTAATACAAGTTTTTGACCTCAATTTACGAATTTGCAGTCTACCACAGTCATAGTTTCGGGCTCAAGGTAAGATTGATGAAATGCTCAATAACGAACCATTGGCAAAGGTTATCGCTATCTAGCAAATCTCAATAAACATTTTCGAATTTCTTAATCCATATTAAAAAAGCGGACTTAAGCAAAAGCTTATTGTACGTCATATTTAATGAAAAACATGGCGTTTGTTATGGATTCCCATATTTCAGATCTATATCATGGTACGACTTCTGATCTCGACAACATAATGGTATGTACAGCATATCACGACTTGGATGAAAAGGCTCCCAATTGTAGAGGTACTGCATATACGAGCAATTCCGAAAGTGGTGAGCAGGACAGCACCAAATTCGCTTCTTAGACTGCTGTTGCTCGACTAGAAAGATTGTCGATACAGTGGATGTCAACAATGCTCCAAAATGGTTTAAAGTGCATTGTCGGATACACGCACCGACAGCGAAAGATTGCACCAACAACTTTAAGGTGCGATGGAATTCAAAGTATTCATTGGATGCACCCGTTGATTAAAGGTGATGCAGACGGCATATCCAAATCACACGGTAAGTAGCGATAGTAGAAGGATTCTATCCCTCAAGAAGAATTTTCGATATTTCACGCTCGCTCAAGAATACAAAATCCGAACTTCTCAACGCGATCATAAAAGTGATACCAACAAACAGAACGAACATTTAGTCATAGTATCGATTGACAAACCAGCCATCGTCTAAATAAAGGCATCATATGACTTACCTTATTCGAGAAAAGAATCCGATAAAGCCTTACATTCACGCAGTGATAACGAATCACGGTAGTATCTCTTTCGCTTCCGCAGAGATGTGATAAAGACAAATCAAACCTACAATAAACTCGATGCTTGTCCAAATTACCTCTTCAATTTCTCGCAGACGTCCAGTAGTAAGTGATATCATCACAGCGAGTCTAATACTTACCCACTGGCAATGCGAAATGTACTCTACTCGTGATCAAGGTGTACTGCTATGGCCTGTGCAAAATTATATCTGAGCCAATCCTTTCATTTTTTCTCTAAACGATTATGCTCATACGTCCTGATCACAATAGTAACGCGAGGGCGTCACCTTAAAAGAATTTTTCTCACTAAAGAATGTCGTTCTAAGTTAGGACATGCACCAGTCACCCGCCATTTTCTCTAACGCTCCTATTCTTATGATTGCTAAGTATGTACGTGACTCAAGAAAACTAATCTGGGTGTTACTCTATCCTCTCTCTATCTGCGCTTGAAGCAAGGGGCTCTCGTATTGTCAAACTCACTCAAGATTGCAAATGGTGAAACATGTCAATGTCGCAGCTCCTTTCAACCCAGTACCACAACTCAATGATCGTACAATCTTTGACAAGACCACCTTATTTCATGGTATCAACCTCCGAACACAACCAGTATTAACAAAGCGAGGCAGGAAAACCAACAAGATCGTATCACGTATCTTTGTCATCTTAGACGGTACGCTAATGGTTCTGTCGAACGATTTCTAACTGATCACATACTCATTTTTCAATTTGTTGGACAGGTTACCTCTTTTACTTTCAGCATTCGGCTGCTACGGCCCCGTGTGGAGTTCTAGCATTACAGAATGCAGAATATTTTGTACATTCGTACGCATCATCGGCAAAGCCTGGAAACTTTTGCGTTGAATTGCAATCTCCATTACGAGTCTGGGGTACGTAATGTGCTCCGTGTTAAAATACATTCTCTTTCCACGACTTGATTTCACAAGCTAATTCTTTGTTGTTCAGGAACGCTTATTCTCCATTTTCATGGATATACTGCAATGGCCTTTCAGAACATCAAACAAATGATCAATGGTGCAGGCGCGAAATTTCGTCAGAATCAATTCACAGAGAACGGAATAGAGCTTGACTCTACTCGACGCAATAACAAAGTACAAAAGGCGTCGCGTTTGATGACGCTTTCCAGCCTTTCAAACCTCATTCCACAATGGGCTCGTCGAAATCGAAGCCCTCGCAGTAGTAATCATGAAGACAGTATGTTGGTGTCGGAGAGTGAGCCTGAGTTGGAGGCTACGAACGTACAGGTTGACAGCAACATGGTCGTCTGTCGAGGCATGAATGTGTTGCGCTCTAGTCTTCACAAAGGGAATTCTCAAAACACAAATGCCATGAATGAGCCTGTTGAAACCAGTAACAATGTAGCACATTCTACGAGATATCAGGACTCACCACGCACTAGACTATCGTATGCACAAAAAGCGTTCCCACGCCGTTTTTTAAACTCTTATGAACAGGAAGAAATCGTGACGGAACGGAATATAAATCCCGAACATTGTCACGAGCTCTGTGTTAATGGGTATGTAGAGACTGCCGGTCGTAGTCTCTCTCTTTTAATCAAGCCTGGGGAAGAACATAGGGACCTTTGTTCGACACAGCAGACAGATACTGCGCGACGTTTTTCAGTGGTTGTACAAAGTACTCAGCAACCTCTCGGTTCACGTATTCGCTTCGTCTCTGCTTCGGAGCCGTTGTCTGAACCATTTGATATCGTTACGATGACTATGGCTCATGAAGGATATTTATCAATACAAGACCATCAACAGCAGAGACGATCAATCTGCGTTCATGACTCACAATCTATTGATGTGAAAAGCTCTGTAGTATCTACCAGGTGTTCTTCCACCAGCAGACGAAGACTAAGTAGTGAAGCAGCGACTGCACAAACGAGCGATGATCAAACATGTCGATTAGCGCCAGTACGAGACATTGTCAAGACAGAAGCAAGTCAATGTGAACTGATTGATCCAGTCGGACTTCACCCCGCTACTGTCAATAGTTCAATTGTATCGAACCCTGCAAGCAGTCCATCGAAATCTCACTCTCGCCTATTGTCACCAACGTCGCTTCCGCAAAAGGCCAAGGCTATCGCACACCGTACAGCGTCTCCTACCACACCACTATCATCTCCCGTCTCTAAGAATGTCCATCCACTATCGCCTGGAAAGCAGATTCTAGTTCCAGTTCCCATGACGGATATTCGACTGGTTCAAGCTGTGAGTATTGCCGAGAGTTACAGTGGTGGGTATATGCTGCGCCAGTATGAACCACTTAAAGTCATTGGTCGTGGTGGGTTTGGTCATGTGATGGTAGCTCGCCACTTGCCTTCAGGCGCATTAGTGGCAATCAAAACGCTTAATAAACGAGTCATCGCAGCACAGAACCAAATTCAATTGTCACGAGCAGAGAAGACAGTGCTAACTCGGTGTCGTGATCATCCGTTTATTGTTAAGATGCACGCATGTTTCCAGACTATCGAGCATTTACACTTAGTGCTTGATTATTGTCCAGGTGGCGAACTGTTTTTCCATCTATCGCAACGTGGTCAATTTACTGAACCAGTTGCTGCTTTTTACGTCGCAGAAGTTCTTTTAGCACTTGAACACTTGCATGATCATGATATTATTTACCGAGATCTCAAGCCTGAAAACATCCTTCTTGATCAGCAAGGTCACGTTCGTCTTGCCGACTTTGGATTGTCAAAACCAGACGTGGACGACTGGACACTAGCCATGACTTTTTGTGGTTCAAAAGATTATATTGCACCGGAAGTGCTAGCACTTAATGAACGATCGTCAACCTCTTCTGTGCGAGGGTATGGAAAGACAGTGGATTTCTGGGCACTTGGTTGTATGCTATATGAACTTTTGACCGGCCAACCACCGTTTTATACTGCTACAAACAGAACACAATTGTACGCACTCATTATGGAGGGGACCGTCTCGTTTCCACCTACTATGAGTAAAGAAGCGCGCGACTTGATTCAGAATTTACTTCAAATTGATCCGACAGAACGACTGGGTGCTCGTCGAGCAGCGGGTGGTGGTGTAGCGGGCATTAAACAACATGCGTTCTTTTCAAAACATCACATTGACTGGACGAAATTGCTTAATCGAACTCTGCATGCTCCACCACTTCGTCCTCGGGCAGGAGCATTCGTAAACTTTGATGCAGAATTTACATCCATGACATTGAGAGGCATTGATCATATGGTGAAGTTTCCAGAGAAAATTCCGATGGAGTATCAGCTTTTTGATAACTACAACTGGGAGTCGCCGAAAACGGAATAAAGAAAAAGATGAAAGCATGCAATTTGCAGTGCACCAAAGACGATTATTCGTTATTGTTATGAGAAAAAGCCTACCGTTACATCCTTCCAATGCAATACGTACACTTGATCCCCAAATGGCTTTACATGCTTGCGTCGTCTTACGTCCATAGTTTGTTGATCGACATATTTTGCTCCGAGTCTTTCTTCATGACCTTGGATACCGCCATTTCGAAATCTTCTTGCGTCACGTGGATTCGACGCTCCCGGAGAGCAAACATGCCAGCTTCAGTGCACACGGCCTTGCATTCGGCACCAGATGCTGTCGGCATTTTTTCCGCAATCACCTTAAGATTAATACCACGCAGTAGATTCATTTTTCTCGAATGAATACGCATGATATCAATTCGCGACTAGTTCATATGGATCCAATTTGCAATTAGAATTGAGGATAAATATTGCTGATAGATTAATGAATCACCCACTTACCCCTTCCGTTGGATTTGGAAACTCAATCTTTCGATCAATTCGACCAGGACGCAGAAGAGCAGCATCTAATATATCAATTCGATTCGTCGCCATAATGACTTTGATATTCTGTGCTGGTTCAAAACCATCGAGTTGATTCAAAAGCTCAAGCATCGTACGCTGCACTTCCGAGTCTCCACCACCGCTTTCCATTCGTGAACTACCAATCGAATCGATTTCATCCATGAAAATTATCGATGGAGACGCTTCACGGGCCATTACAAAGAGTTCGCGCACCATTCGTGAGCCTTCACCAATGTACTTTTGGACGAGCTCGGCACCCGAGACACGAATAAATGTACAGTCCGTATGATGAGCAACGGCACGAGCTAGTAATGTCTTGCCCGTTCCAGGAGGTCCATAGAGTAATACACCCTTAGGTTGTGCTACTCCAAGAGCATCAAAGAGTTCTGGATGTTTAATTGGAAGTTCAATCACTTCTTTGATTTCACGAATTTGTTTGTCAAGACCCCCAATCATATCATACGTTGAATCAGGCACCTTTTCCACCTTCATTAAGCTTACAAGAGGGTCCACCTATGACAAGAATTGAATGTCAATTGAAATGTTCTTACCAAATAATCGAATCAGTACCTTAGTCGGTAGAATTTTATGAAGTACATAGCTGTCATTACGTAGTGCTACACGCGTGTTTGGTGTGCACTTGGTGATGTCAATGCCCTTATCAACGTCAACGACGTACTTGCCCTCTGGATTTACTTTTACAAGTACTTTCGACTTTCCCATTTGCTTTACTACTTCTCCAACATACGATCCAGGCTCTTGTAATAGTTGTAACTCTTCACGCAATAAACGGACTATAGAATAAGTCGCGACAGAATGTCATTACTCTTAAGAGATGTATCGATTGAAATATTACATCCATTCTACCTTTCGAGTTGAGCTCATTACGCTGTGCCTGAAGACGACGTAAATTTTGCGTTTCATCACGTACTGTAAGCTCTAGATGCTCAATCTTTTGCTCGTAGTAGCTCGTTAGCCCCGCACTGTCATCTACTAATGTCATCGCAATATCTGGCGCCATGACGAAGTATGAAAAATTCCGGTAATTTTACTGTCCCTCCCCGATGGATCCAAACTTTAACAATTTTAATTCATAGTTTTTAAGACTATATTTTAGCTGTTTTTATCTGTCATTTCTTACCGCTGCCCATCAAATGGTAGCGACGCCCAAGTTCCACGTGACTCAAGACACTACGTGGGTGTTTGTTCACGTTCACGTACCATACGTTCGTGTGTCAGACATGGAGTTTTACGTTGATGGAGTTGATTTTACATTTTACTGCAAACCATACTTGCTCAAGTTGCACTTTCCGTACGAGGTTATGGACGACGAGCTTGCCAAGGCTGTATACGACCCCAATAAGGTAACTTATTGTAACAATAATATTGCAATGCAATACTTAAATGAAACTGAACTTACTGTAGGACAACGGTACGATTGTGATACATTTGCCTAAGAAGGAACCTGGGCAGTACTTTACAGACCTTGACATGCTCACGAAACTACTACTGCCGCAAAGCATACCCACAAAAAGTATAGCAAATTGTCACGGGTACATTTACAATATATTGTATTGAAAATTTAGTTATTTGCACTAATTTGACGTGTTGTTTGTATTGTTTCAATATCTAGCAAAGCACCACTTATTGAAGTCTTGGAATCGACGAGTCCAACGTCCATCGGGACTTTTCAAGAAGAGAACGATCGATTGAATGCATTGATTGATGGCAAATCATTTGACTCTAAAACAACAACGACAAATACTTCAATTTCAAGCATGGAATCCAATTCCTCGCTTTTAAAACTTGAAACTTCAGCACCGCAAAAAGTCATAAATTCCATCACGCTCAATTCAATAAAAACTCCTGTTAAGTCAACAAACATTCGCGTTACTGAAGTTACACCTACGTATGGATTCAATCGTGCGTACAGTAACTTTTTTCGCGTCTGGCATGGTGAAGTGAGTGAGATAATATCTCTACCTGATCCAGAACATGTTCAAACTGAAGAACGACGGAATTTACGGGAAGATGCAGAGGAAAAGATGTTTGATATAGAACGCTACCTGATGGACGTTGGAAATCAGAAAGATGACATGTACTTTAAACTTGCTATGACCTACGAGCCTTTTTGGAGAAAATATCCCGTCTTGACATCCAATAATATTACACGAGAAGAGAGCACAAATCTCGACATCAATCGTATGAATGATAGCCTCAACATCTTGTCTTTAAATGCTACTTTATCTCCCTCGTCAACTGTACCTTTTGCTTCGGAAACAAGTGTCACATTTACTGATATTGAGCAAGAAATCCTACTTCGACTTCCACGAAAAGAGTATTTGTTGCCAGAAGGAAGTGATGATGAGATTTTGGTCATTGGTGGTCTCGTGGATATTCTCATCGGCTTTGTATACGACCAATTGACTACACAAGGCGATAGTGGAGTAGAATCTACGTGGACGGTGAGCATTTTAAGCCCCACGTTATCATGGCTAGATTCGAATTCCGACTTGCATGATGTGATACGCTCAGCCATACGTCGCATGATAACCTTTCCATTCCTAAGACAATATGACCTCGCGATGCGCTGTGTGGAGGAGGCGAATGAGGTTTTAAAACGAGGAAAACGCGTCGTCTTACGAGCTCTGCTCACCCTCTACCGAATCATTGAAAAGTCAGAAACACAATATCTACTCAACTCACTTTATATTCAGGATTACTGTGTATGGATTCAATCTGTTTCAAATGAGCGGCTTCAACAGGTAAGCGTAGAGCTCGATAAACAAATCGCGGCGTTCACAAAGAGTAAGACAGGATGGGCATTGGAAGAGCTCGAACGTAGGCTCTTTGAGACTGACTGTGAACACGAAACAATAGCTTTGTCTTCCAGCTCAGACTCAGATTATGATAACGTAACTTCTAGCGAAGAAGACACAAGCGATGATAGTAGCAGTTAAGAGGAAGCAAATTAACTAGACGACACAAAGACAAGTACGGTAGTTGTGATGTCGTAGAGGAATGGACAAGACGCACGTCATTTATAAATAGTCGAGGAAGAACGGTGACAGAAATACAGAAATCTAGCTCTGCTGGATATAGATTAGATTACGTTTAACTTTCAATCTGAAGCTCATTTCGTGAATGCAAGTGACACATGATCAACCAAAGCACAGCTCAGGTTACGAGTCTACCAGGATCTCCGTCAACAAAGTCAAAGCTGCCATTACTATTTACTGCACGGCCTGGAAATGTTGGTGTTCAGATTGACGCACACCGAGCTTTAAGCGTACCTTCTAATTCTCGGAGCGCCCACTTTACGTCGCAATTTCATGAAATGATGTACGAAAATGGATCACTCGAGAATTATGCACGTGTTGTGGAGCGCACAGCACAACGTACTCGATTATTGCATGACAAGATGGAAAAGCTGCGTACCAGAGAACAGCAATTTGAAGAGGAAGAAGCAAACCGTAAGCAGAGGCGAATGCAGCGTGAAACAGCTCGTCAACGACGAGTATGGCAAATGCGTCAAGAAGCAAAACAAGCGGATGAACAAGCACGTGAGACTTTTGCAGCCATTACAGTGCAAAGAGTAATACGAGGTGCTTTGGCACGGCGAATCGCTCGAGTCCTTAGGCTTGCGCAAAAAACGCATGGAGCGGCTTTAGTACTTCAGCGAGCAATGAAAGTATATGTGAGTCGACAGCAGGTTGAACGAGAGCGTGAACGTCTTGCAAGGGAACGAGAGGAAGAACGAGAACGTGAGATGCATTTTGCTGCTACGATACCTCAGCAACAGACACGCAAACATTTAAAAGCTCTTGATGAAGCACGTCGACTGACTGTACTTGCTGCGCTTGCTGAAGATGAAGAGAATGATGATGATCAAAATGAGGAAAGAATGTTGTCAGAGACTTCAGTGTCACTTGTAGATAATCGTTCTCTTGACGAGAAGATTCTTGACGAGGCATTGAGGAGAGGAATAAGCCTCGATCTTCTTTTCTCGGATTCAGACGACAGCACAACACTGTCAACTTTTTTATCAAATAATTCGTACTCTAAACCAGTACGCCCACAGCCACCACCATTAAATTCTCGACGGAATACGACTGTTAAGCGTGTTGGTGGAGGGTATCGCTTGAGTCTCGTATCAGACAATTCCAAGTCATCTCTCATCAACACAAGTATGCAGAATTCACCGGAAAAGTCATTAATTCACACAAGTCAAAGGCCATCGCAATCAATTGAAAACGCTAGTCTTGACGAGAATTCAAGACGTTCTCGACCTCGTGCCTTCCCCTCTTGCATCGCTGTACCTGTTTCTTCCATTAAACGATCTCATGTCTCTACCAAGAACAATAGTGAAAGCTCACGTTCTGTATCTCCCGTTAAAGGCTCGTTAGTATCTCCCTACGCTCTCGTCCAGCGTCTACTTCCTTCACGATAAAACACTTTTGAAACATATTTTTTTGCTCCACGTCACATATTTCATGTTGACCACTAGAAACCCTCTATCTTGACTACTCCCTCTTATTTTGACTTAAACAGCTCTGCTCCAGTAGAATTGACGGAGCTCCATTCAGTTTGTGAGCACTCCCGAGTTCGGACGTCCCCTGCCATGCAGCTCTTTACTGATTCACAGACCCACTACGTAACCGTATCAGAGGATGGTCGAATTAAAGTATGGGATCTTGCTAATGGGACATTGTTACAAGAACTTAAAGAGCGTGATCATCTAAGCTATCGATACACGAGTTTAGCCTGGACACAGTCGAAAGTTAAGAGCAAGAAACGTAGTGGTGCTAGTAACTTTGGAATGCTTGCAATGGGTACTAGTAACGGCGTTATTGTACTCTGGGACTTGACCACGGGTGACGTCAAAGACACAATTCAAACTGACAATGTGCACGGCTCAAGTCCCGTTCAGGCACTTGTTTTTAACACACAATGTTCGCTACTGTACTCAAGCTCAAGTGAGAAGCATGTGTTGGAGTGGAATGTTCGCACTTGTACATTGGAGCGTAAATTTCGGGTTGGTACAAGCGGTGCGTCGGCTCTTGCGGTCTCTGCAGATGGTGAAGTTTTGGCAGCCGGGGGCTCAGCGTTGCGTACGTTTGACTTAGCGTCGGGTAAAAAAAGTAGAAAGCTCGTGTCTGGTCTGTCATCTGCTGTGACAAAATTGAGATTTGCCACCGTGGAAGATGGACTCGTCTCGTCTCGATTCTTGGTGGCGGCAACGACTGGTGCACGATTTGTTAACATCTACGATCTGAACTTGACGGAACACGATGCGCCAGCTGTCACGTTAAGTCTACCTAGCAGTGCTAATGCATTATTTGCAAGAGCTTCGCTTGGTGAGACTGTGGTCGTCAAGAAGAATAAAAAAGTCAAAAAGACCAAGAAGGAGAACGAGGAAGTTACTAAGCCCATCGTGGATTTGCTGGTTGGCGCGACGGATTCGTCCGGTTCTATGTTTTTGTGGGCACACAAGTATCAGCAGGTGAACGACACGTCCGAGCTGGCGCTGGCTTCCAAACCGTTGTCACCAACGCTCTCGACAGAGGAGAGCGCCGGCATATTGCTAGCTGATTTATGCTTACAAATTGGTGAGAATCAAAAATTAGACGTGCTTGTAGCACGTGGGTCACTTGTTAAGCCTGTGTTCGAAAAAGTCTCTCTTGTGGAGGAAAATGCACCAAGTCAATGGAAAAAAAAGCTGGAGTTTGCAGAGATTAGTGATGCTTTGCTGCTTAAGGCTGAGCAGGCTGATCATTCAAGCAAAAGTGGTAGCAAGCGGCAGAAAGTAGAGGCTGCTATGGATAATGAAAAGACGCACGTGCCGACACTAAGTGAACGTCGTGCTCTGGTGAATTCCATGGCAGTCACGGACGAAACTGCCAGTTTTGAGGATCTGATTGGCGTAGCAGATGAGGAGGAAGATGAGTTGACGCTTGCTGAGCGTGTTGAGGCGTTGCGTGAGCGTGTCGAGGGTGATGTGACTGCTGCGATTAGCCGTGCTGAGCGCGATGCTGAGACACCTGGAAAGGCTCCCGGTAACAAACCGGATGCATCGTCTTTGGCCAGTGTCCTTGAGCAGGCTCTGCAGGCACGCGACAATGCGTTATTGGAATACTGCCTGCGTACACGTGACGTGAAAATTGTGGCCAAAACTATCGCACGTGTATCTGCTTCGCGTGTTCTAGTATTGCTAGAAGTGATTGTTCAGAAGCTTGAGCGCTCTCCGAATCGATTTGCACGGCTGTGTCCATGGCTACGAGCTGTTTTGCTGCATCACACGGCGTACCTTATGGCACAACCTGATCTTGTGTCTAGTTTATCAGCACTCTATCAGCTTTTAGAAACCAGATTGCAAGTGCATGAGCAGATGCAGAAACTGTCGGGTCGTCTAGCATTAGTGTTGGGACAGATTCATGTAAGAAATGATAGCAATGAACAGGAAGGTGGAAAGTCTCGTGCCACTGTGATTTATCACGAAGGTGAAGAAGAGATAGACAACAGCAGTAGCCATAAAGTGGAAGAATATGAAGACGAAGACGCGAACGAGAACGAGGACGTAGCGATTGAAGATGATTGAGTGGAGCGGTAGATGTATTAATACTCTCAATAGACCAAACGAGCAAGAGTATAAAGTCTTGCTGATCTTTCGTTTAAATCGCTGCCTCATTGTACGAAAAATGCTTCTGTCACCAACGTTGTGTCGGCCACGGCATGTGGACCCAGAGCGCTTGCGAACGAGACTAAAGTCACTTCAGTTCGACAAATTAATTTATCATGAACCTGCAGTAGTGAGCACAGCGCCAATGCAGTTTCAATTGTTTGCACTAAGCAGGGACACATTGTTCATCGTGCCGCTCTTAGGTCGAAAAGGGGCTGCTAAGGACATCTCTCTTCCTTTACGAAATATTTTATCAATCGACCGCGTGGTGCCTGCTAATAAAAAGCAGCGGGATCTATTATTGCTACCAACCAGTCAACTTTTTCGTCTCCAGATACAGGAGATGACATGCAAGAACGTACCATCAGAACTTTTCGTCTCGACGTTTGAACCTCACACTCAACTCTTTTTTCAGTTATTGCGAGCACTGCGCATCGACAACCAGGTCTGAATTTTGATGTCAGTAAGTAGAGCACAACAAATCTAACTCGTTATTCTGCTATCATAGAGACGCTTGATGCCACAAATTCACTGTGCACGCAGCACTCCCGAGAAACGTCTTGAGCTTATGAGTTTATTAAAATTGTTCATCACTGAGTTAGCTCAGGCACAAGACGACGTCAAGCGTAGTGATCTACTTGATGAATTGTCAACCGCTGCACATGTTTCTACTGAATTGAAACAACTCTTTTTCGAAGACCGTACATTGGTTTCGGGCTGTGTCGGTCTAGCTGTCTATTTAGCTCGCGAACTTTCAATATCTGTGCGTCAAACTGAGACGCGTGTGATGTATCTACTTAGCATTATGCGAGTGTTTGATGTTATGTGCTTTGACATGCAATTACAAGCAAATCAAATTGAAATGTTGTCAATGAACGAATTGGCAAGCAATTTACTTGCTCAAGGAGTTGAAAGCTTTGCTTTGAAGTCCATCACACGCAAAATGCGTAAGAAATTTATGGTAGCTCAAGCTGCACTACTACTTGCACTCGACACAGTGCAGCAAAACGAAGATTTTCGCTTGTGTCCGCGTCAAATGATGAGGAGAATGGGTGAAAACCCCACGTCTGTTATGTTGCTAGCTATTCAAGCACCAGCTTTTATAGATTGGCTTCCGAAATTCTTCAAGACGATTTGTGTCGCAGTATCGCGCACAGCTATTGCGATTGAGGGACTCAAAAAGGGCAAGATAGAGAAAAATGAATGGAGTGAAGAGAAAAAAATGGTCGAAGAAGAGCTGGATATTGATGATGAAGATCCTCTCGAGTCATCTGAAATACTAGCACTCTGGCAATGTGTATCGGTGTTGGAATTGTTGGTAAAAAGTGACATTGTTTTGGGTGGCAAGCAAGTATGTGCGGTACTCTTACGAACTCGAAGAGATCACATCGAGTAAGAAAAATGCTTCATATAATTTTGCGATGGGAAAGTTTGCATTAACGTTGTTGTATTATCTGTCCGACAGTATGTACTTAAGAGCTTCACGCTTTATAACTGCGCTCATGACGAGCGGTATATCTCATCTTGAAATTGTTGCCCTCAAGTTATGTAGCTTTCTCGAAATGCTACAAGACCGACGAATAGAGTACAACGAAGAATAATATAAAATTGAATCCCTACTTGTTTAAAGGTGGTGGATCTTCGGCAAGCAGCAAAACGCGAGGAAGAACTTCAGCTAAGTGAGGGTTTTGTTTTTCTAGCATGGATACAATAGCTCGAACCTTTTCAATCCCCTCCTTTGCTTTTTTCAACTTAAAATTCGCTTGTTCGTTGTCCAGCGAACCAGTACCTACTCCACGGCATAGCGAGTCAAACCGCTTGATCATTCGCAATTTACGTGCAGCCGCATCTATATATCGCTGCTTGTTGTAAAGTGCCGTATTAATCGAACGTTGAAGAGATACTCCACGCTCCTCATGCACCTTGACTTCAGCTGATACTTTTTCAAGTTGAAACGAAATTTCTTGACCCGCTACCAATTGCGTGCGAATGCTCTTGTCCAGTCGTGAAGTATCTCGCTCACTTTTGCGCAATTGATTCTGTAGTGTTGACACCTTTGCCGTCAATGCTGCAAATGTTAATTCTGCCTCTTGTTCTTTCTTACTGCGTCCACGCATCGCAATGACATCGCGTTTGTGAACTGCTTGCTCCATATCTTGCAGCATTTGCTCTTGACTTCTTTGCAAGGCTTCGAGTCGCAGCTGCATCCGATGGATCTCTTTCTCCATACTCCGTGCCTCTGCCTGTCCAATTTCAGGGTCAAGTGCTGCCTGTGTTTCCTTTTCCAGCTGAATCTTTTTCTCCCATAGCATGAGCTGTCGCTCCACTTCCACGACTCGAGCTACCAGTTCGTGTTTTTCCTGCCGTAAACTAGCAGCGCGTGCTTCCATAGAAATGGAAGTCGCTTCAAGCTCTCGCAATTCAGTAGCAAAGTCAAGTTCAAACGCATGATTGCTATTTAGTAATTCATCGTGTCGAGACCCTTGGCGCGAAATCAGTCCATTCAGCCGTCCCGTGTCTGCGTGCAGTGACGCAATACCGTTCGAGAGGTCTCGAAGCTCACGTTGCATTTCTTGCAGCTCGTGCTGAAGCCGCAATTGTTTCTGTTCCAATACACTCGTTTTGCTCTTGCATTCCTGATTGCGTTCGCTTAATTCTTGTGTTTCACTAGCAGCATGAACTAGAGCTGTTTGTGCTCGTAGCCACATTTTCTGCTTTGATATATTCTCTTCTCTTCCAATTTTTGTCTCACGAACCAAATTATTGATTGTCGCTTCCAGTGGACCCGTGTCTGCATCCTCCATCTTGCTAACCAAATGCTCGTACTTTCGATTCAGTCGATCCAGACGCAGCATTTTCTTTTCAATCTCATCGTTCCGTTGTCGGATCTCGAGTTCCCCACGTTCCACTCTCTGATCATCTCGCTTAAGCTCTTCGACAAGAACTCGTTGGGTTTCTGTAAGATGCGCAATGTGATTCTGTACATTCAATGCATCCACTCCCACTCGAGCCATCTCGTTGCGCAAATTTGCAAGTTCAACTTCTTTCTCGTGTACTTGTGTCACAAGTCTTTGTGTCTCCTTTGTAAGATTATGCGCTGCCTTGTGGACAGTAGTTCGGTCATTCTTTTCCGCGGCAATCTCGTCTTCTAGAGCGTGGCGTTCACGCTGTGTTGTCTCCAAGTGATGCGCTACTTGAGTTGCTTCGACTTCTAACCTCTTGCCTTCCTTTGAAACAATTAAGAATTGAGACTCGGTTTGTTTAAGTGACTTGGATAGCAACTCGTGACGAGCTGTGAGACGCTCGTGCTCGGCTCGCAATTTCTCAGTTTGCTCCTCTATGAACCGTATTTCTGCGTTAAAGCGCTCAATAGTAGTAATTAGCGTTTCATGAGTCTGCTGAGCCTTTTCAATTGAGAGCTTGTAGCCACGTTGTTCAGCATTCAATGCCAATGTGTCCTCGCCCACCTTTGAGATCGCAACTTGAGTGGCCTGTAAGGCAGTATCGCGCTGTTGCATGCCGATGAGTGAGCTCTTCCATTGCTGCAGAAGTTGCTTCTTTTCAAAAGTAACAGATTCCATTTGTGCTGCTGCCTGACGCAGCGTCTCCTCAGCCGCTTTTGTCTCCAATCTTTGTGTTTTAAGCTGTGCTGCATTGATAGCGAGTTGCTCTTGCAATGTCTTCACTTGTTCATTCAGTCGATCAATGTACAAATCCTGCTTTACCTTGTCTTTCTCTGCAACAGTCATTGATTCCTCTGCTTTCTCCGCGGCACGTTGAGTGCTTGCGATCTCGTGCTTCATTTCCTCGTTATATTTCTCTACTTGTCTTAACGTTGCATTCAAAGAGTCAAGCTCTGCTTGTGTCTTATAAAAGTGTGCACGACGCTGTTCGGCGGCCAGCTTTTTCTCCTCTGCGCTTTTCTTCCACTCATCGAGCATATCTTCACTTGAAAAGCGTTCATCACGCAGCGTTAAAAGACGTTGATGAGCTCCCTCAAGTGCAACTTGCAGCTGCGCAAGTTGTTGCTGTACTCCATACAAAGCCACACCGACATCTTCACGTGCAGCCTTAGTACGACGAAGCTCCTCCTCCTTCTCCCGAAGCTCTAACGACAGACGCTCGTCGTTGCCCACAAGCTGCTCATACAGCACCTTTTGGATACGCTGCATGCGATCATGTCGTCCCATGTCCATGATAGTTTGCGTTAAATTATCATTTTCATCTTCATCCCCATCTGTACTATCCTCTTCGTCGCTATCGTCATTTATCTCACCTCTGTCCTTGTCACTCTGCGCATCCTCTTCATCGTTATCGTCATTTATCTGACCTCTCACGTCATAAAGCTGTTTATCCTCTTCGGGACCTTGAGCGTCTACAATCACAGGATCTGATACATCCTTCACTACTTCCTTTATCAGTAGCTCATGATCGTCATTTTGCGTCTCTGACATCTTGGCAAGTCATTGCGTCGTTTCAAAACAAAACGGTTTTCACACGTCGCAGGTTTTATATTTTGACAAATCACAATAATCGTAAGCATAAGATTGGCTTAAAATCACCAGTAGATTCTAGAAAACCGGGTGTCCACACAATTGGGTATCATTGTCATAATTATTGTCAACGTCATATGGCTATTCGATCAGGGCTGCTGCGCTCAGGAGCGCTGCGCGCTCTACGCTCACAGCACCGTCGAGCAGCAGCACTGAATTATAATGCTGGACTTTTTGGACATCATTGCGCCACGTTTCACACTACGCGCGCTACCATGGAACCCAGTAAACGCGATTATTATGATATTCTGGGAATTTCACGCGAAGCGAGCAAGAATGAGATTAAAAAGAAGTATTATCAATTAGCTAAAAAATACCATCCAGACACAAATAAAGCAGATCCTGATGCAGCAAAGAAGTTTGCGGAGGCTACTGAAGCTTGGGAGATCTTGGGTGATGACGAAAAACGACAAAGATATGACGATTATGGTCACGCCGGCGTGGATGAGCAAGCGGGTTTTGGTGGTGGAGGCTTTCAGGGACAAGGATTTGAAGACATTTTTGGCGAATTTTTCGGTAGTCAAGGTTTTAGTGGACGTTCAAGTCGTAGCACCAACCAGCCACAACGTGGCTCAGACATTCAGGTAGACATTACACTTAACTTTATGGAGGCCGTGAGAGGCACAACGCGCGACTTGAACATCACGGCCAATGTTGAGTGTGACACATGCGATGGGTCAGGAGCTAAACCTGGCACGAAATCAAAGACTTGTTCAACTTGCAATGGTTCTGGTGTTCAAATTATGCAGCAGGGATTCTTTGCAGTCGAGACACCGTGCCGTCGCTGTCGTGGTAAAGGATCGATTATTGAGTATCCATGTGGATCGTGTCACGGAAAGGGTACAGTCAAGAAACCCCGGACGGTTGAGGTGAAAATTCCTGAAGGTGTGGACCAGGGTATGAATCTCCGTCTTGCACATCAAGGGGAGCCTGGTCAGCGCGGTGGGCCGGCAGGACACTTGTATGTCGGCATTCATGTCTTACCAGATCCGTTTTTCAAGCGGCGTAATACGGATGTACTTGTGGACGTACCCATCTCAGTTGCGCAGGCTGTACTTGGTGGTAATGTGGTCGTGCCAACATTAACTGGAGAAGTCGAAATGAAGATTCCACGGGGCACACAACCAGATACTGTGCTACAAATGCGGGGCAAAGGAATCAAGGAGCTAAACTCAAACCGTCGTGGCTCACAACTTGTGAACCTTCAAGTTTGCGTCCCCAAGTACGTTATTAGTATTTTGTCTGGATGATTGGTGATGTTAATTGTTTGTGACTTTACTTTGATGCTATAAAGAAACTTATCCGAACGACAGGAAGAATTGATGAAAGAGTTTTTGAAAGAAGAGAAAGAGCGAGCGGAGAAAGGAGAAGATCCAGATAGTAAACCTCATTCCTTTACCAAGTCGGTACGAAACACAGTTGATCGGATAAAGAATTTTATTAAAGGATGCAAGACGGACTAGACGAATGTATAGAGAAGGCAGTGACTTAGACAATATCATCTTGCTGTGTTTATAAAAGAAAGACATTGTCCTTAGGGATTTTAAAGACGCGCATGTTCAGTCCTGGTACATCCAGCAATTCATTGATTTGTTGCGTGCACGTTTGAAATTCTTCGCTAGCTAGCCATGTGTCAAGATCCTTTTTCGATTTCCACTAGTATCAACAAATACAGGAACATTATACGTAGGTAGTGGACCAAAACCAAGCAGTAGACTATTTCTAACCTCAGAGAAGACAACGTATTTAGTCTGGTCGTCTATCTGTGCATACGTGTCAATAGAGACAAAACCGGGTTGCGCACGAACGACAGCTTTGACTTTTTCCATCAGGCGAGAAACGCGCGGCTCGTAGCCTCGACTCATTATGCGCTCGCACAACACTTTGACACGTCCAGAGCTCATATTCATCCAGTCTTTGCTTTTACCAAATTTGACCAAAAGTTGTGCTTAATATTGAAATTCTTACAATACTTCAAACCAATTTGGAATATTGCTGTAAGCTGCTCGTTAAGAAACTGCTTTTCAACACCAAGGCCACATTTTCAACATAGAAGGTAGTCCACCCAAAGACTCGTTTGTAGCGTTAAGACACTCACATGAACACGAAGCTCGTAAAGCTAGTAAAATTAAAATAAATGTCAATTCAGACTAAATTGTATTGTCGATGTCTTGTTCACAGCGACAACCTCTAAGTCAATTATTTTCTAAGTCGTAAGATTGTTGTTAGCAGGACAGCTGTCGTTGCAACCATTGCAGCGACCACTAAGCGCGACCGAAAGTTCTTGCAATTAAAACTCATTTCCTGAGTGTGAGAGTCGAACATCGCAAACGGGCATGACGACGACGGTCGCCGTATTGATGTTTCGGCACTAATGTCTTGTGTCGGGCCAAAATACTCGTAGTGTAGCTGAGATGTAGGAATTCCCCATTTGTTGCTAAGCGCTTTATATACAGTCGTCATGAACCCAGCAGGACCACAAAAGTAGAATTCGCAATCTCTTGATGGTAGGAATGTCTCGAATTGTTTAAGATCAAAACTTCCGTAGACTGTGTGCGCGGTGACGGATTCATTCTTCTTGGTTATTTTTTCAATATGCTTGCGAAAGGCGACAACATTGGGGTTGCGAGCATATTGAACGAATCGAATAGATTTTTTTGATTTCTTCTTCGGTGATGAAGCTAGAAGAGATTCGAGCATACTCAGTAAAGGGGTGGTACCCACGCCACCACTGATAAACACAATTGGCTTGGTGGACGGTTCCAATTGGAAATGACCACATGGTGGACCTACATGAAGAATGCTGCCAATTGTAACATGATCGTGCAAATAGCTCGAGACAATTCCAGCCGGAATGTCACTCGTACCCGACTCTTTCTTAACAGAAATGCGATAAAACTTTTGTCCGGGTGCAGAAGACAAACTGTAATTGCGTACAATCGAGCGATCACTTTGAAGTTGGTCGAATTTGAGCGACAGAAACTGACCCGGTTTGAAATTCATAAGACCTTTAGATGGGTCAGTGCTTTCGAGATAAAACGAAGTGACTTCAGTACTCTCTTTCACTTTGCGAGCTACGCGCAGCTCGCGATATCCAACCCAACCACCAGGCATGCCTTCAAATTCGTCACGCATCTGATCCTCTGCTTGAATGAGGAGGTGGGCAAGAAACCAGTATGCTTCTTTCCACGCATCCATAATTTCATCTGTAGCAGCATTTCCAAGAACCTGTTTGATGGCACGAAGTAGGCAGCCACCGACAATCGGATAATGTTTTGCTCGAATATCGAGGCTCACATGTTTGTGTACCATGCGTGGAACAGCATCGCCGAGATTATCGAGTTGATCACAATTTGCAGCAAAGCCGATAACTGCATTGGCGAGTGTTGCAGCCTGACGAGATACACCAGAAGGAGCCCCTCCTTTCGTGGCACCAGCCACGCGATGATGCGACATGTTGAAAAGGTTTTGAACCTCTGGAAACTCTGAAAACATAATTTTGTACATGGTGGAGGTGATCTCATTACCGTGCACCTTGACAACCGGAGCGGTCGTTTTGAGAATAGAAATGGTTTCTGCAGACAAAACTTTCGATTCAGTAATGCGATCTGTAGTAGTAGAGTGTTGATTGGGAGCCATTTGTCTGCTTGACGATGTAAAGTGATTTAAGGATTTGCGATTCAAGTTTTGAATTGAGATGTGAGCATCGAGAATGTCGATTAAAGTTTGTATTTAGAAAATGGGGCTATAGACACGCACGCCGATTCTCCTCCGACGTCGGAATGCTAATTGTATGTGCTGCAGATGCACTGCGAACCTATCACTCGTCGAGTTTAGTCGTACATGGTCACTATGAGTCATTGAATGAGAAATGACAGAAATAGCTGATATTACAGCTTGTAATCCTCTCATTGAAACGGCAGTTGATTGATGAAAACTTGTGAGTTCGGTCATATCGCTATAATTAACGAAAGGATCAACAAATCTTCTGTGCATGCTCAATGAGATTTCACTCATAATTAGATCTCACGCCTTTGTGTTGCCTCTCTATCGTTATAATCAATTATAAACAAAAGTATCGCATTAAACGAACGAAGCACTTAAACTTCATCCACTATTAATTTCTTGCGTTACACGCTGAGAGAATCAGCACTTCCACTGTCGCGGGCAGTTACGGTCTATTTTCTCGGAATGAGAATTTCGTCAAAATGGTACAGTTTTTACTAACATATATACAACAATTTATCCAATTAACAGTTATATAAGCTCCACATTTTAAAGGCATATCCTAATTTTGGGTTTTGTGTCCCTTATTGAATTCGAAAAATGGGGATACTTTTAAGGACACCTGTAACGGGGTTACACATACCCTGGTAACAGGTGTGTGTCTCACACCAGATGGGCATGGTGTGACTGCACCCAAACAATGTGGCTAGGTAGCCAGTAGTTATGCATGTATTGAGATTTTACTATATATATTTAGTGTATTAAGGAAAATCTGAACATTTAAAATATGGCGGCTTTGCCGCAGATAAAAACAAATAAAAAACAGTGTCGAATTTTAAACGGAAGAGTAATTAGCCTTGGGTTAAGGTAAGGCACTAATCACTCTTGGAGCAAGCGGATTGCGATCTGCTAAGCCGTACTTGTTCTAAGTATAGAACGAAAAGTCGGTGACCTAAATTACGCTTCCTCAAGCGCTAAGCTACGGCAGCCCCGCTGTAACACCAGTTTGAAGGCGATCTGGTAACCTTACAAGATGCATGGTGTGCCAAAATTAGAATTTTGCTCAAAACCAGAAATTTACTCGCCAAATGGCCTATTAAAGACGTCGATATCGGGGATGCCATTTTACATCTAACGTCTCAAACGTACATACATGGTCAAGGTCTGACTACAATATTATACTGGTTCAACCAAAATATTAAAGCCTATGTGTTTACCCATTCTTGGTCACTACTCGATCAAGTCTTTGCGCAGCAAATGTCACAGATATTCCTATGCTCCACGTAAAAAACGTTAAAAATAGATAAAAGTATTATTTGGAAACCTAGTATCCGCAGTAATTAAGCGCTAAGCCGGTTTAAAGCGAATTCTGGATCTATCTTGACAGCAAATTTTGATTAGTCTAACAGAGTAGCTGAACATTCCGAAAGATTATGCCGTAAAGTAGCGAGTATCCGCAGAAGCTACCACATCTTAAAATTTATAGAAACTTCTTTCACGGTGATTGGCACACTAATGTCTCGCGAGTGGATGGCTGATCTATTGCTTGCATCAAAAGCTGTCATGGCAAGCCAAGAGCAAACTTTCAACATGAATGGGATTAATCATCGCGCTCGTGTGATCGACTTGGTTGGTTAACGCCTTGAGCCGATCGCATTGCACTGATTTACATACCCTTAGAGATCACTCGAATATGAATTTAGAATTCTTCGACTTTAAGAAGTTTAGTCTGACCGTGGGCTCCTTGTAGTGTTTTTTATCTGGCGTATTTTGTGGCTCGTTTACTTTAAATACATATGCATTTTTTACAGTCGAAATTTGTCATAAAGCACACGTACTCGACCTGTTTATCTTGGTGTTGTGTGTGCTGAGCATATATTCAAGAGCTGCTAGAACGGATAGTAACCAGCAGACCCAAATATAAGCAGCACTTTGTGGCACAAAGACGGACAAAACTATTCCTTACACACGATCTGCATAAGGGCCGGAAGTGGTTTTATTTTTAGTTTTGTGAGTTGGTGGAAATCTTGTGGGACGTAGGCTACCAGCAACCAAACGAGTCTATTTAGGTCCAATAAAAGCATCAATAAAGTTCCACCAGATCATTTCTTTAAGAACCAAATCAGCGCATCTGACTGCTGCTTCTGTGCCTTCTCGAGGCCATTGGGGTCGGGAAACGGGCACGGTGTCCGCAAGATTCGAGCAGGGCTCACTTCAAGCCGCTGGGGCACCTTGACGTCATCTAAATAGTTCTTCCTACAATCCTTTGGCTTGTCAGCACTGACGAAGTCTAGAGTTCGAATGGACGCAATTCGCGCGTCATCCACATCTTAAAAGCTTATGGCCTCATTGCGGTCTTTCATGGGAGAGATTTGGATAACTTAGCAAGACCTGCGTCGCCAGCCGCGTCGGCAGTTACTGGATACGATCGACGGGCGATTGTCGGCGGAAGATCAAGTCCTACTGAACACTTCAGGCTTTAATGTCGACCTGGCTAATACGCTCAAGCAAATTAGGGCTAGCTCTGTTCTTGGGAGCGGATGGCTTCACTGCTGACTCCTGCATGGATGTAACCGATGTCATGGGTGGATGCATGAGCATCGTGTTCAACTAATAGTTAGCGAGAGGTGCGATCCTACGCTTCCAGAGCCATTAAGCGGTCTGTCAAACATTAAGGGTTCTCAAGCCGATATAAGAGACACCTGAACAATCTCGCTCATGGAAGTCGATATTAAAGCTCTGTCGATAGCGCTAACAATTCGAATGCGACTCTTCCTACCCAAACTCATCCACGCCGAGCAGGATGCATTCAAAAAATTGAGCCATCAATAACCACTTTCACTTTCTTATTAATCTGCTTTATCTGGTAATTGCGAGAGACGAAGAAGCCTACACCATGTGCTTTAACTGTGAATAGCCAAACGACTGATCCAACTGAATATGAATATTAGGTGCTAGATTGCGTGGGCTGTGATACGTCTTCTCTCACTGGGTGAAGCTGCTCTACACCATTTTCAAAACCCTAGATTAGTACACCATGTCAAAGCGAAGTGATATAAGACATATGGCTGGATGAATTTTACCACTGATTTGGAGTCTTGTTTCATCAGTGGCGAGTGGCAATAGCCAACGCCCACAAGACAATGATATTTTTTTCCTGTCAGAATGGTACATGGCTAGACGTCGACGCGTTTGCTTGCTTCCACATAAACTACCTATTACCGGCTTACAAACATTACAGGCGGTCATGTCCAAGTCACAGAAGTCCTTCAGTGGCTGCTCGGACTGTGTGTAGATGGTTCACTGGTCCCCACTGACACAATCACGGGGATTCCTCGGTCTCCGTTTGTTGGTGCGAAAGTAATGATGCGAGTGCATGCAGTCCCTTCGCTACCCAAATCCCAGCTATCCAGCATCATATAGAAGCCATCGACCCCGAACAAACCGTACCTAAGCAAAATTTAGCACGACCGCGCCACACCAGACGACATCAATAGGTTTTAGCGGCTGCGTAAGCATCATACTGCTACCATGCAGTATTGACTGACCATAAGGCTGTTGTCAATGCGCTCTCGTCCGCTAGAAGCTCACCTGTGGATCATCCACGGCAACCACAAAGTGTATTCCACAGTGAAGAAGGCGCCATCTGTTTTTGAATACGCATTGCTCTTTGCGATATAATCAGTATTTTCCGTGATTGGATCTCGTTCTTAATTTTACCCCGACCTGGATCGTCATCATGCTTGGACGTCGAATCACACCACTGATGCATGCGTTGGCATGCTGAAAGATCTATGGTTGATCATGCGTGCGATCGTCATCATTTTCTGTGGGTTGACGCTGAGGGTAGTATACACGACTTACGGCGCACACGTGCGGGAGTCTCTGCGTTGGTTTCATCGAAGGGGACCATGCATCGATCAAGTTTGTGCTTCACCAACTTTGGTGCTCTCGCTCGCTGAGTGGTTAATACACGCGAACTAATGCTCTTGGCAATGAAGTTCGACTTGACAACTATACTTTCCTGGCAACCTATAATAGATATCTGTACGCTAGCAGACAAGCTGTACATTTTCTTCGGTTGTTTTGTACTAGCAGGCTCGCTGGTATATTTTTAGTATACTTCAGTCTATAACAAGTCATATAGACACCTTAACTCATCACACGTTGATACTCAACATCATAGAGAGTTCTTCCGGTAATCTATTCTAAACTGATGCCAGAAAATTGTCCTTAATGCATCGCACGCCGGGAAAATTCCTTTTCTGTTCAGCTTCATCACAAATATGGTTGTGAGCTTGCTCATAGTTCTTAGACCCATACACACCGCAACATAAATTGCTTGTCGTTGCAGTGGGTGTCACACTTATAAGATGCTAAAAAGTAGGTATACGCAGCACCACCTTTATATGAGGCGCACCCAGCCCTTACGCGTTCAAAAATACGCTTGCTTTTAATTGTATTCGATGCCCTTCTACCAGAAGAAAATATATTGCAGCGAATAGAGATATCACAAACGGCTACTTTGAGTGTTATGAAAGAGACTTTAGCGCTGCTCGTTTGATGGTGCTACTAGCTAAAATCTTCCGCTAAGAGCAGCACTGCACACGATATTTTGAAAATGCACAGTTCCCTAACAGAGACATGTTGCAAAAGCATTCGGAGAAAATAGTAGCCATATGAAGCCACAATTGAGTAGCGCCATATTTGCAGCGGGGCTGTCGTAGCTCTTCTGCTAAAAAGGAAGCTTAGTTAAAGTCGGAAACCTTCGTTCTATACTTAAAACCAGTGTGAGTGTAGCAAATCGCAATCCGCTTGCTCCAAAAGTAACTGCAATCTTATTACAAGACTAATTAACTATTCCGTTTAAAATGTAAGCGTATTTGTCTGTTTTGCGGCAAAACCGCCTATATCTTAATCTATAGGTTTTCCTATCTATATAGCAAAACCAAATTAAATACTGGCTGTTTCAGCCACGTACCGATTTGTTATTTAAGTGTAGCCACACCGTCTAGTGTGACCCCGTTACACTCTCCCCCACCAAGACTATAAACATCTACATTTCACATTCAACTGTCGCCTCGAACGTGCTCGCGTGTCCAAGACACCACAATATCACCACGACCTTCTTCACATATTCTCTGCTCAATGAGCCCTGTGTCGAAGACACGGAGGACACCCAGCCTCACTGGTTCCGAGAATGCCTGCAAGCAGAGACCTTCTTCGTCTCCTGCACACAGTGCAACTTCTGACAGCGCATCGCGTCCTCTACGGGCGATGAATAATTTCTTCGAGTATTTGGAGGAAGTCAACTACAAGTTGGACACCCTTTCCTAGAATGGGAGGGAAAGGAGGGCAAGGCATGCTAAACCTGTAAATCGAAGGCTACAACTTAGTTATATCAACTAGATCGATTCGCCAACTCACCGTATTTTTCCGTGGCGGCATCAAAGCCAGCCTGGGACATTGCTTGGCAATTTTTATGGAATCGCTTCGCTATTTTGTTTAGCGTTTGACGGGTGTTTCCGACCGCACTTCTGTTTTGTGATTGAAACTTGAGATGGATATCCTGCAGCTGTTAATGGGCCGACTTCTTCCATTTCTCCTCGATTTGACCTGGGTTGCTGATAGACTAGACCTCTTGCAGCCCTTCCTGAGCCTAGGCCTGGACGGCTTTGGCAACCTCCGGGTGTTCGAGTAGGTATGCATGGGATCATCAAAAGCTGCGGCCTTGCAATTAAGACTTTAAACGGATATTAGGCTTCGTGCGACAAGTGATCGCCTGTATACTTGGACTCGATGTACTTGTTATCGCCATACACTGCGTTGCTGAAGTCATTGGACGTCACAATATAGTCACGTCGATTTTTGCATGGCTCAGGATTAGTATACACTCGTTCGTCTAGTATGGTAGGATCCACCACTCCCAATTGATGACTATTAAGCGAGGGCTGAGACGAGTCAATGATATTCTTGAGAGACATGCTGGGCTTGTTGAGCACGTGGTGGAGCGCGTTGTTTTCGAACAGGTCGACGCGCAGGTGGTCGAAGCAGCACCTTTGTCGGAGTCATCGATAGGCGATTTGACGTTGTGGATGTACACAGGAGCATCCTAACCGACACCAAAATCACTAAAAGTGATCCGAAACAGTCAGATCGGGAAACTCCACCGCCGTGCCGAAGCATTATAAGTCCGAGCAAAGCACGGTGATCGTACCACCAGAACGAACGGTGGTCCGTTTGTTGCTGTTGGTACCCAGATCGCTGACGAAGTGGTGGCATTACTGGAATCGGGATTCGTGGCCAAAATTGAGAATGTCGAGGTGGTGCAAATCGTATAGCTTGGTCATTCGGACATAGGAAAGCTGTGCCGCGGGAGGCGGTTTTCGGTCAGCGTGTTGCCGTTCTTCTTTATCCCATTGATGGTGACTACCAGCAGGCAGATCTCTTGCCGTGAGATCTCGACCTTGCTCACTGGTTGAGCCACAATAGAAATTTAGAATGAGAGAACCAGCCCCACTGTGAGCGGATCGTCTACCATCTGCATAAGAGCATGCTTACATCGTTCGATTTGAAGCCATCTCAAGCTCACGGGCTGTCCAGCATGGGGCCCTCCGCTAAGCGTTGTCAAAGTTGGAATAATACTTCGTCAATTTTGACCCGTACCACTGCCAGAGTAGGCTGGGTGGAGTTTTTTTGCTGAATTCCACGCGATCAACATATCGGTTATACGTTGAAACCGGTAGTTTCTCTCAAATCTGCGTATGCATAATGATGCAGCCATGATTTTAGGCGACCCGGAAGTTTGTCATGGCGCTCCATGTCACTCGGTGACAGTGCTTTGATGATCAAATCGCATTGTTCATCTTCAACATACGCTCGAAATATTATATCGAATACATCGCTTCGATATGACTGATAAGAGCAATGCGTGCACATTTGCATGGGCATGAAGAAAGCTTGTACTCTTGGTGCCCAGAGTAGCTATTTTGTGCTATCCGACAACACCTTCTACCACTAAGCCACACGCTAGAACCAGTTGTCTCATCTCTTCGAATCCTTGTCTCCGTTGTGTTTGACCCACTTGTTCGCGATCAAAGTCGACTTCGTTGAATTCGTCAAACTCAGCACGCTCTTTATAGATGCAAATGTAGGCGTCAAATCGCTGACAGCTGGTGGCGGTCTGCCCGTGGAGCAGCTCGGCGTTACAGTCTAGTGATGCCAAGAACGACGCATGGTACACCCCTGTGTCCGCGTTGTTGGTGTTTCGTAACACCATATGCGGCCCCGAGACCATGGATTCGGCGATCGCAAGATGATCCCGCAGGAGCTGAAGACCGGCGGCCTTCTCCGTCGTCTTACGACAATTATTGGAATTGGCAATGATTTTTGGTTTTCACAACGTTGATGTGGTTCTTGATGAGGAAACGGCTGTCATCCTTCGACTCGCTGAACCTGATTGGAGCCTGACTCTTGCGAAATATGATCCGGAAGAGGGGACGGTGCTTCTCATGGAAGGCGGCTAAGCAGCAATTATATTCCATTGGGTGGTCCTCACAACTCCCACGACGATCTGAGGTCTACTCTTTAGAGGCTTGTTAGCAAAGACGGTTGCCCTAATGACCGCTCTACTTTATATTTTGTTTTGTCGGAACTCACTGAGGAATGCTCCTTGTGGTTGCGACAGTTGGCTTTGAGGTCCTAGGTTGCCTCTAAATCACCGATTCATTCGTGAGTTTACAGAGAGTACTGTTTGTCGCTACCAGGGCTGGGAACACCGCTTGGTGGATAATTGCTTTCTGCCGGAGCGCGAGTAGCAATGACATCAATCTTGGCTACCAAAAAACAACGTAAACAAATGACCATGCCTACCATGGAGGCGTCTGACGCTGTCTCTGTCCTGACTGCTGCAGCTGTCTTCGCCGCCGAGCCTTGGAGCCCCAGTATATAGCGCGAGTAGTATTCAGTTAGCATGGGTTGGAATGTAACGACGTATCCTCCGCTTGTGTCAGGTGGATACATTCAGCAAACCCGAGTCGGTTGCAGACCGAGCCACAAACAAAGATTTGCGACGAATTTCTGCTCTAGTTAAAGTAAGCGCACCAGGTGGCTGTCGTCACCACCGCATCTTGTTCCAAGTCTCAGAACGTACCATAGATCGGTTGCGCTCCGAGCTCGAAAAATCTTGAGCTTGAGATCCGCAACCCCGTCGCTGTCGATGCTGGACACGTCGATGTAGAAGTTATCATCATTTTTTTGGACTCTCCAAACAAATACTTGCCTTCGATGATGGTTATCTCCTGTTAATCCAGACAAAAGCAAGCTTCCTTAGTCTTGACCTTGATTCCAAGGATTTGGGCCGGCATCTTCTAATCGGGTCAGATGGTACAGGCCCATTTGCTGCTGGACGGCTTAGTTGTCGTGATCCGATAGCTTCGATGTCTACAGCAAGCGGTTTCGGCTATTCGACTTTCTTTCTCTTTTGTCGAAGCTGTCGCGTCGAATCTATGGGGACCATTGCAATATGGTACACAAGTTCGGTGGGCGCGTACCCTACCGCTGTCACATGGCTGCCACCGCACGCAAGGTGTTGGTATACTCAGTCAGAACAAGATGGTGCTCTATGTACCTTCTTTAGGCATTGTGGGAACTGATAAAAAAGCTATCTACAGTATGGTGTCCCCACATGCATACGTGACATCTAATATTAAGTCACATCCATATTGTGCGATACAGAATGTTGGTTTAAGTTGGTGTCTGTACGGATGACGAGATCGACGTGTCTCTGTCTTTAGAAGTGTGTGGCGTAAGCCAGTCACTTCAACTGAGCCCTCAACCCTAAGATCTTGTATCGGTTGAATCTGAGGCTTAAACTTTGTGCACCCTTGATTCATAAATCAGAATACCAAGCTTTTATCATTAAAACCTCTAGGAGCCCTCGGGGTGTTTTGCATGTAGCTAGGAACCATTGTTCATTTAAATTCAGTTACAAAATTTCCTCTGAAGGTGTTTAGTCGTTCTTCTTCCCTTCAATTCGGTAATGCTTTTTCCCTCTACATCGGAAATCGCTTTCTAGTCGCACAAGCGTGTATGTTGTGTTATTGTTTGAGAACAGCACCCTCTTACAGAAGACCCTCTTACAGAAGACCCACTTACAGAAGACGAGAGAGCTTGGGGCTTGCGCAGATCTAAGTTCTTATGAATATGACGTGGGGTTGCCAGCAAGTTATGAGATTCTGTACTACAGCATATTATAAAGTCGTTCTGGTAAAATTACACGCTGAGTGCTATACATTCACACAACTGGCGTTGCGCCTGCATAACTTGTGCCTGGCTAAGTCAGGAATAGCACTTTCTTGGATCCCGACACAGCCTCAACATCCATTGGGTACCTCATGAGACTGCGAAAACTTTGGTCCGGAAACTTCTAAGGACATTTGCAGCGGGGCTACCGTAGCTGGCGCTTTAAGAAAGCGTAACTTAGGTCACCGACCTTTCGTTCTATACTTAGAACAAATACGAGTTAGCGGATCACAATCCGCTTACTTCAAGAGTAATTGGTGCCTTAATCCAAGGCTAATTGAGTCTTCTGTAAAATCCAAAACTGAATTCTATATATTCTTATCTGCGGCAAAGCCGCCTAATTCTAAATGTATAGATTTTCCAAATATAAATATAAAATCGAACTGCCCAGCCACATACCGTATTCTTGTTTGGGTGCCACACCATGTCCATCTCGTGTGACACACACCCCTGTACCAGGGTACGTGTAACCCCGTTACAACATTCATGACAATTGGCGTCGGCAGTGCCCCACAAGAAAGAAAAAACGTATCGTATCTGAGCTTATCGAACCAACACGGAAGTTTCTGCGCGACAAGTGAAAAAATGCACAGCATCAATTTTGATCGAGACTGTCGCTCATTTTTTAACACTAAAGGTTGTGAACTCGTCCGTGCTAATTCCTAATCAAACGATGATCTTCTTAAAGCATAAGAATTTAATGATGTGCATCAGTCAAGCAAAAAAAAATAAACGTCGCTGCACTTGTCTTGCTGTCTGTTATTCATCACGTAATGAAGTGCATGAAAAACTCATGAGCCTGAGCGCGGATCTCGGCTGTTCTCAAGAAGTGTTGACAGCATGCGGATTCATAGTAAAGCAGAAGCAGAATAATCGCCGCATAAATATCGCTGTATATTGACAAGTCATCAATAATAAAGATCAGAAGAATGATGCACTTTAATCTCTCTCAATTACGATCGCCGACGCAGCGATCTGGGTGCACTTAATCTATATATTTCTGCATTGTCGCGAGTCAAACTGATCACACTTTATTATTACCGCGGTCACCGTTAAACTTTACTGAAATAGTCGTAAAATATCAGACACGAACATAAAATTTCACAACAAAGATGGGTAAGCGCAATCGTTGGGATTCAGAATCGGATTCAGACGATGAGCGTTTCTCGCGGCGCAACCAGAAAATCTCCGCTCGCTCTAGAGTTTCCATCAAGAACAAAGCCTCCTCTTCCAATAACCACACTTTTTATGCCTTCAAAACATCTACAACTGAACCTATTGCTGTGCTAGATGACCCTCATCGTCACAATTTCTACCTTTTGGGCTGCCGCAGTGTTGACAGCTACGCCCGTATTGGTAAAATTGACGAAGGAACATATGGCGTTGTTTCCAAAGCACGTGACAAAAAAACTGGCGACATTGTGGCTTTAAAGAAGGTTAAGATGAGCGCTGATGCTAGTCAAGAAGGATTCCCTATCACCGCATTGCGCGAGACCAATGTGTTATTAGCTTTAGATCACCCAAATATTGTTCAAGTACGAGAAATGGTCGTAGGATCGACTCCCGACAAAATTTACATGGTTATGGATTACGCAGAGAACGATCTCAAGCACGTTATGCAGAATAAAATGAAAGCTCCGTGGCTACAGTCTGAGGTCAAGTACCTGATGCAGTCGATACTGAGTGCGGTCGCGTACATGCATGACCGGTGGTACATACACCGAGATCTGAAGACCAGTAATTTATTATATGACGCACGTGGCGTGCTGAAAATTTGTGACTTTGGACTAGCACGCAAGTACGGCTCACCGTTGAGAGCTTACACGCAATTGGTGGTAACGCTGTGGTACCGCTCGCCGGAGTTACTGCTTGGAGCCAAGAAGTACTCAACAGCGGTGGATATGTGGGCAGTTGGATGTATCTTTGCCGAGATACTGCTGATGAAGCCGCTCTTTGCAGGACGTGGCGAATTAGATCAGACGAACCAGATATTCAAGTTGTTGGGCGCGCCAAACAAAGAGAATTGGCCAGGAGTTGATGATGACGTACCTGATGCGAGTGTAAGCGTGCATGGCAAGTGGCCAAAACGCTCTCGACTGCGAGAAAAGTTTCCACTTGCTAATACAATTTCAGGCACCGGATGTTCATTATCAAAGGCAGGTTTCGATCTGTTGAGTCGAATGCTCGCTCTTAGTCCTCGTCAACGAATCTCAGCTAAAGACGCACTAGCTCATGAGTATTTTAGAGAATCTCCTCCACCCAAGCAACAAGAGCTTATGCCAACATTTCCTAGCTAGAAAAGAGTGCTATCTGTTCGATCTCTAGATTATGTACTAATTTTGACCACAACTGTCACAAAGCTAGCTGCGAGAAGCGTCTCGTGATGAGCGAGACTACAAATATTTCAGTCTTAATCGTAATTTCGTCGAAATTATTCTCAATCTCTGTCACAACGGAAGTAAAAGTGCCTCTCAACGCAATGGCCGATTACTTTAAATTTTGCAGTTAGGAAGACAATAGTATGAATCCACCAAAATGTAGCAACCGGTGCACCTTTTGAACCGTAGCCTTCAACTGCAAGGCTTATTGAAGACTGCAATTATCTTTTTTTCTAGTTTGTATGTTAATTCTGGAAATTCCTGCTGGTGGAGGAACTTGCAACTATCCTGCAAAGGCTTAAAAAATGTGAGACTCGCACAAACAATTTTACGCATCTAAAATTTTTTGTAATTGGTATTAGTAAAGGATGACCTGAATCGCAGTAAACTAATTGACAACAAGCACATAGCAGCTGAACCTCTTGAGCATTTCAAGAGAATTCTCAAGTTATTGCCCATGTCGTCGATTAAGGCGTCTCTGCAATGTGCATTCTTCGATTGCCAGTAATTACTGAAGAGTCATTGCCTTTTCGACAAACTCTGAAAAGTCAACAACTTCGTATATTCGTATCGTTCAAGCGCGACAAGCGCACAGACAGAAATTGCTATCATTAATGATGTCGGTGAGATCGGTTCCATAGTGCATCTCCTCGTACTGCAGCGATAGCTGCTGTGATTGTCGTTTCGCATATTCAGACAAATGTGTTTGTCTCCTTGCATCGCATATCACAACAGAGTATCTAGTTCTGAATTAACTTTAGCGCATTCAGACTGCTCACAGATCCATCCATCTCGTCGATCGCATGTGCCACGAGCTCAGTTTTGATAATCATGTGGTAGCTGGAGAACCAATCACAGTAGTAAGCGTGGAGTCAAAGCATTGACCAGCAACGGCTTCAATCCCAGCCAAGCAAGCTTGCAACAGGCCTCTTTAGCACTGACCATCAAACATTCCAGAATGATAAGTTCAAGGTTAAGTTAACAGAACACCATAATTCTCGAAACATACCGGTATGCTTGCTCAAGAGGAAAGTATTCTACCGGAACCAATACAAAATCAAAGTTAACGTGGAACCTTCCAGTGGTGAAGAGCATTCGAAAAACAACGTTTGCGCTAATCAAAGTTCTTCATAATCCCCTTACACCACTTAACTCAGATGGTTTCCACTCGTAGTCGTATGAACTCAAAAACGATGCCTGTCGTTGATCTACCACAGAAGCGTACTGCCGAATCAGAAGCGACAGAACGCCCAACCAAAAAGCCATTAACGCCAAAAGCAGTCACAAGTGATATTGCTGTAGGCAAGCCTGTGACGGCGAACGTGACCTTGCTTAATCAGGAGGGAAATGAGGTTGTGATTGCCGACACTTTCCGTGAACAGGGTGTTGTGTTCTTTATGTACCCACGTGCAAACACGCCTGGGTGCACTAAACAAGCCTGTGGTACGTCTTTTGAAAGATATAAGCCTCGACAATTTGCTTACTGTGCACATTGATTAACATCCTTCTTTTTACTTGGCTTACATCTAATTTAAGGTTTCCGAGACAATATTCAGACCATCAAAGACTCAGGTTTCACGGTTTACGGACTGAGTGGCGACTCGCCAAAGTCGCTGAGCAAGTGGAAGACCAAGGAAAATCTACCTTTTGATTTGCTCAGCGACCCTGAACATAAACTCATTTCACACTTTGGGAGCTCACTGCCAGGAAAGAAAGTGCAGCGTTCGCACGTTGTCATCCTTAAAGGAGGCGTTGTGGGCGACATCGCTGCCAAGGTGACTCCAGCGAACAGTGTGAGCCGTGCCGTTGAATATGTCAAGAGCAAGAGTGGCGCAGAATTCAAGGAGGAAACTTCCAAAGAAGAGGAACCTGCCAAGGAGGAGGAACCTTTAGATGTAAGTGGTGAAATGCTTACAGAGGGAAGTATCGTGACCTTCGCCGCCGAACTGTTGACTGAAGCTTCCGTCTCGGTCAAGGTGCAAGATCTTTTTCAAACCCGCGGAGCTATCTTTTTTATGTACCCGAAAGCTGACACACCTGGTTGCACCACTCAAGCCTGCGGATTTAACGACAATTTGGAGGCGATATCAGCTGCAGGATTTGACGTTTACGGCCTGGGTGCCGATACCCCGTCCGAACTTTTGGCGTGGAAAGAGGCGCAGAATTATAAATATACCTTTCTGTCGGACCCCAAGCACCAACTTATTGGCTACTTTGGTAGCTCTCTTAGCGATGGTACGCGAGTGGAGCGGTCGCACGTGATTGTGCTGCCGGGAGGCAAAGTCGGTCAGATCAAGCATACTATCTCTCCTGAGGATAGCGTGAGCACGGGTCTCGCCTTTGTCAAAAGCTATGCTCTCGACAATACCAGCAGGCTTTAAATAGTGCAGATGATGCCTAGCTTAGGTCAAGACGAGCACATTTGCCCTGTGTTTCGAACAAATACCTTATAGGAGACTCCTGCTTTCATGTAAACGATTGCGCTGATGAAAAGTATCGATAAATGAACATTTATTTCGTCTACAAAGTCATTCGAAACAGATTTTGTGCTTTAAAAGTCTAGAAAAGTATTTTTAACTAGAGGCCACCATTTGGACCAGAACGCAAAACACAGATCACTTTCTAACTTGACTTGAGCCGAATGCGCTACCACCGAGCTATTATCTACGTTGCAGATAAAAAGAAGATTCAACAAGGTAGATAGCATGTGAATCGTTATCTGTTGTAGGTTTGAGGTCTTACGATCTTTAAATCCCAGGCAATATATAATATATAAAATTGATTTATCATCACCAAAAATCTGCTTCGAAGTTGTCATGGATCCAATTGTCGATTTTGCTATTTACTGTCTGAAGACACCATTAGATTATTATGCTTAAGTGTTGAGGAACCACAAATGACTCAGCCAATATTGGTGCTCAAGCGACAACTGTAAAGGTTTACTTGTGAGTTTGTACTTATGTGGCTGTAATTCAAGCACGTACTTGTTTGATAATCGCATATATCATTCTTACATATCAGCGTCCTTGGGCTTGGCTGTTAGGTAGTGAAAACCAACCACAGACACCATGATCACCGCGCCAAGACAGTTCACAAATGTCATCAATGCAGCATCCATCTGATTGCTGCCCAACGCACAAAGAAATCGTCATAAACAGCATCAAAATTGTATTCATATAATGGTTGCTCGCCAACGTACTTGTCCATGATGCCTAAGTTTCTTTTGTAGCCCTGATAGACACGTATTCAATTTGATGTGGCAGGAATGTTGCAGTGTGGTGTCTTCTACACACTTCAAAATGTTGCTGTCATGTACTATATATCTTTTTCGCTAGAAGATATAATGGATGGATGCAGAGAGAAATGTCTAGACTCTCGATATATTTACGAATGGTGAGAGCCCTGCTGTCTCAGATAGTGGCTTCACCAGACAATAGCAATTTCTCTGAACAACTTTTGATTGTTCTAATGGTGCCCATGAGACGGAATTACAGTATTTGTATTTTTCTTTGAGCGGATGATACAATACAAGTAAATCCAAGAGCAATAAGGATTCTAGTTCTTGCAAGCATCTGTAGAGATCAAATGCTGCTACAAGCTTTGAGAATTTCAGCACATCGCGCGCGAGAATGCAGGGCGGGATAAATGCATTTGCGTTGAAGAACATATTGATGACAATCGCCAATGTATTTTTAAGTGCTGTTTAGTATTGCTTTTATTACCAAATATCTGTCAAACTGCGTCCTCACACTAAAAATGACTTGACCTCGTAATAAACAACCCTCCAGCCTTATGCCTCGTCCACTGCCAGCCAGCTCACCAAAATAAACATATATAAATGAGATATACAGCTATTAATATTTGGTCTAGCAGGTGTGTCGTCTTCAGTTCCGAAACAACAATCGAATTTCTGAAAGCTGCCCGCGGTATAATTTCGATCACCTGCGCTCATTACGACACCCATCATCAGTGCATAAAGGCTGTCGTGTCGTGTTTGCCACATTTCAAGTCTACGCTTGCAAAAGCACATTTCGTCAACCTTGTGCGACAGTAGAATCACTTAGCAAAACCTTTTGTGGCAGACAAGCTCATCATTGCGAGCACGATCATGACGGAATCAAGCATACAAGCGCAACGTTTGAAACGAGTGCATGAGAAGGCAAAAGACTCCCTTAGCATTAGCACGCAGGTAGCACCGGCCGGCGGCGTGGCTGCCAATGTCACCATTTACCACATGGACATCTCCTTTCGCAGCACGCGCAACAAATGGAGTATCGCCAAGCGTTACTCAGATTTTTACGCTGTACGCCAGCAACTACGTAAGTTTACGAAGCAGCACAACCGACAGCAGTGCAGCAACTTTAGTAATCTGGTTCCGATACTTGCGCTTAATAAGACACTCGAATCGGTTTTTCCTCGCCGTCACTTTCGCAGTGACAACATTACGATTATCGCTGAGCGTCGAGTAGCACTTGAGTCTTTTGTGCAGTCGCTTGTAAAGATTGTTGCTAGCATTCCTATGGCTATTGACCTTGCTAGTGATATTGAGTCAATCACAACCACCGAGGGAAAACAATTAGCAGAGCTGTATGCAATTTTACGCGATTTTCTCGAGTACCCGGACAAGCAGATTGAGAGTGAGGCCAAGCTGACTTTGGCTGTTTTGTCACTTGAAGATGTAGTCGTAAACTCTCGTCGCAACATACTCGCATTCGATGGAAGAGTATGCAGTAACGAATGCTGTAGTATCTGCCTTAGCGAATGGGACGATGAGGATTGCGGCGGAATGAATGTGGTTAAGCTGCCGTGCGAGCATGCTTTTCACGAAGAGTGCTTACTTGAGTGGCTGCAGGGGAGTACGCATTGCCCAATGTGCCGCGAGGAACCCAAGACTCTTGGATTAAGTACATGTACAGATGAAAGTGCCGCTCAACACCACGATCATGGCCTTAAGACCTATGCAGAGGCTTTAACGGAGAGGCATAGTTAGCTTGATTGTAATAATTGGTCCGCTTTACATATATCACTGTGTATTACTATTAAAAAACTAATATCATATTTTTATAGCATTTTAAATCAGACTAGGTCTTTGTATGCTGTCCAATCGTCTTACCATTTGTAAGCCTCATTTTTTAGGGAGCCTGCGCGTAAGATGCTGCTGCCGGTGAGTCTGCTCTTCTCTATATGAGCACAATGTCTTAACTTGTTACAACTTCGATACTCTACAGGTACTTGAACGTTTTGCTGAGTTTGGCTGGCAACCGTTCGTAGAACCCGCTGAGACCTTTGAGTTCTTCACCGTCTCGGGTGTCTTCCGTCGCGCCAACGTGGATATTTCTCTACACTCGGGACAACATGATGCTCAGATTCTGTTAAAGCGTAATGCACTTTTAAGTGTTTGTCTTAAAAGTGGACTGGCGCATCTTATCGTGGCCTACATCCGTGCAGAAGATTTACAAACGCAGGCCGATAGCGTCTTTGCTAGTGTTAAAAATTACGTGCTTAAGGAGCCAATTGCTGTGCAACAGTGGGCACGCCGACATCTTGAAATGATTGAACAAAGTATTAATGAAATGATTAACGAGCAGCAATATAATGATCGCGAGTCACCGCGCTTAGTGAATCAAGAAGTTGTGGAGGAGGAATTGCGACAGTTAAATGGACTACGCACGATTATTATGGCGCTTATTGAAAGGCTAAAAGAAACCTTTCGTCAGGCTGCGTATAGCTCAAATGGAATCGATATTGATGGCAATATTGTGAACGAGACAGAGCTTATGCGGCTGACGACCGCAGGAATCCAGGACTTACTGCGTCTGCTTGCACGCTCGCAAAGCGTTTCGTGCGCTTGCAGTTGCATGTTGTGGCTTCACGAGAACGAAGTGGCAGCCGATAGGGACATGTATAATGCATTTTATGATCAGGCCAGGTCGCTGCGCGTTACCTATCGTGAGCAATTTGAAGAGATTTATGGCAGCAAATTGGTGCATGATAGTGATTCAAAGAAACCAATGCTACTGATCGAATACGTGATGAAAAGTGCCAATATATCACCTTCAAACCTTGGAGGAAGCTGTCCGCCAACTCAATTAAAACAACTTTTCGAAGTGCTGCGTATTCCAACTATTCAGGAAGATATCGTACAGTTTTATGGTGAAGAATTGGATCGTGAACCGATTGAAGGATATTTTCGAGTTCAAGTGGCTTTGCTGCTATATTTTTGTTTAGACAGGGCTTACTTGAGTACATGGAAAGAGCATGTTAAGAGTGGGCCTCATATCGCGACTAAAATGCGGACGTTGGCCGACTCTCTTGCGACACAGTTGAATGTACGTGACGATATGAAGTTGACACTTCTGGCATTATGGCTAATGGAGAACGCAGTTGTGGTCAAGACATCTGGAGACGACCAGGTGGCTGCTATTTATGAGAATGCCATCAGTCTTCTACAGCAATCGAGTACTATGCATCTTCACCAGAAGTACGATCTTGAAATTGAATTGATATCTCACTTGCTCGAGACTCTGGTCCATCGAGGTGAGAGCGTCGTGGCATGGAAAGTGTGGAACACTTTTGGAGTCGAACTTGAGCAATCTCCACCAGCACTGACGGATTTAGTTGTAATCATTTTATTGGAGTTGGATCTGTGGGAGCGTGCGTTGTCGGTAATACGCAGTCAAAAGCGCTCGGACCTGCTACAAGTTTTGTTTAATTGGTTGATGACAAGCCATCGTCTGAAGGAAGTGGTGCAAGTTGTGACGCTGCTTCCAGCAGAGGAGGCGCTGTTCCACTCATGTATGATGGGAAATAGATTACAAGACGATGAAGACATTCTTCGCGATGAAAATCTTAAGCGCGTAGACTTTCTCGTAATGTATTATATTCTGAGAAATAAGTATGAACAGGCTTGGGATGTTCATCACGAACACTTGGCTATGATTCGAGCAACATGTCGTGGTGACACAGAGATCGCGATGGCTGTCTTGAACCATCAAAGCTTGCGCATTCGAACTTCTTTGCTATCCAACATGTGCGCAGAGCCCCCCGCAAAAGTATATACGCATAGAAGTAGAAAATTATCGACAGAAGCTCAGCACCGCCACATCCCAAAACCCGCTCTGTTAGAAAATGAAGAGATGGAAGATGTATCAAAACAGGATATCCCAGTTCCAGGACCTTCACAAGAGAAGGTCAAACATACAAAAAATGTCGTGAAACAGGAGAGAACTATGACCGCGAATGCCTTTGTTTCGGGTCAGACTGAGCATCTGACACAATTTCAGGAACTGGCTGGCCGGTTTACATACGCACCGGGTATCTTCTCGTCTCAACAAGGATCATGTGTGGCTACAAGATCTTTTGATTCGGCCACGCCTCTTTTGACTACTGAAAAGACCCCAACACCAACAAAAGCGAACGGGAAAGCCAGCTCTGCAGACATTACGATTGGATCCATCGACTCGAGCTCAGACTCTGCATTACACTCACTAACTCGGCCAAAACCCATCGAAAATTCATCGCGCTCTGCCCGTCAAGGCCTCAATTTTGGGTCTTCTCCGGCGATGGCTTGCAGTGATTCCCCTGCGCCACAACAGACTCTCGTCTCTCCGCTTGGCAGTAAGGATGACAAACTGTTAATTTTCGAATAACTTGACGCTCACGCATAAAAATTATCTGTAGGTCGTCCATTAGGTATGCCACCAGCCCGATCTAGAATCAATCACACTTTTGCCTCCTCTTCTTCAACACCACTCGCTAAGAAAAATGCGAATGTGTCCGATGGTGAGACAACTGCTACAAGTTAACTAACTTTTAAACCTTACAGCAGCTTGTGTTTTGTTCAGAATTCTCGTTAAAGCCCCGCAGTACTGAATATGGTGAGAATGAAAGCTTTCCAGTCGAATCACAAAAGAAACAAGCTTCAGCAACGGGTTTGTCGGAAAACCAGACCGTAAAGAATGTTACAACGCCACCACCTGCTGAGATCAGTACGAATTCCTCTATTGGGCTTGAGACTCCAAAACGGTACCAATTTGTGCGCGAACCGGCAATAGACTCGCGCCTTGAAGACGCACACTCCCAGTCGTCAGATCAGCCAATGTCACCAGCAACAGAGGACCTTGAAGGCATGGAGCTCGAGCGAATTGATGAAGAATTTAGCACGCCCATTTCCCGTTTAGAAGGGCGACGGAAGGAACCTGCTAGTGCCCCAGTGCGTCGCAATCCTCGACGGTCCGCTCGTCACAGGTACTAAAAAGATTGCAGCTTTGATTCATAAAGTATGTCATTGAGTGGCAACGACGTCGTACATTAACTTTGCCCGAAGTCAATAGATAGATACGTCGGAGCCGAATTAAAGAGGATGCTTCTGTAAATCTTGAATGAGCAATGCTGTGGAGTAACTACTTTTTAAAGTGTTTTCTTATTTATTCTCGCACCCTGCGCTCATACATCGACGAAGTGCTACTATCGTCATCACTGCTTTTGATGATGCGTCCTTCAGATGGCACAAGCATTGGGACTCCTTGCCAAATTGGGTACTCAACGTTGATCTCGTCGCACACGAGGCTACCGCGTTCAACGTCGTATCGCAGTGGAAACTTGGAAATGGGGCAGACGAGATACTTCAGGATACTTTCATCCGCCAACTTTGCGGAGCGATTGAAGTGCGACGCATTGCGTATACCACGTACAGCCACTTGAGGAAATGATCTTGACATGCGCTGCCGCGTTTGTACTGTTAGTAGGGACACTATTCCCATTCTAGTGCGGATATTAGTAGCTAATAGTAGAGTTTGCATATGAGTGTATGAGTGTAGTAATACTATTTTGTATGGGAAGATCTCAAATTGAATATAGCTTCACTACGTAGGCAAGAGAAACATGGGTAAGAAGAAGTCCAAGACGTCACTCCCCACGGATGACCCTAATGCCAGCGCCTCAGAAAGTTTGCTTCCAGGTAAATTATCATATTTTGTTCCTGTAGCCAGATTATCTTTCTCTATATAATTCTTGCTCCCCATTGACATGAAGTTATTCATTTCTCTTAATCCTTCTCAGTCTCCGACATCAAGCATCATCATCACCTGGAGCGACACGAAAGTGCTGTGCTGCGTCGACAACGCAGCAAATCGCGCAAGATCTGGTGTGCCATCATAGCCTTAACTATGGGAATTCTCGGGTTTATTGCCATTTTGGCTATTCTTCGGGCTGTAGAGGATGCCAGTCGTCTAGTGCCTACAAAGCGACCAATATTTCCGACACAATATGAAGCCAGTGTGACATTTAATATGCCGTATATGAATATGGTGGAGCCTTTATACGTCCATGTAGACGAAGTCAAGGGTTTACAAAAGCTCAGTTACTATGGAGGCACGGACGTGTACATTTTTAACACGAGTGGAACTAGCTACCAAATTATTCCCGTCGTTCATGAACGAAAGTGTTTCAAGTCTGGATCGGATTCGTTGCAGCACATTTTTCCTAATGTGACGCTCTTTGAGCCTCAGCACGGTGTCGATCTGGTGGAAGGACGTCCTTGCTTGAGCTGGAAATTTATGACAAAACTTCATGAACCCACCCAGGACGGACTGTTGGGAGAATACACGTTGTATGTGGATCAGACAACCGAGCGTCCTGTTCGCTTCCACTACGTCGGACGTAATGGCATGTTAGGTGGCAGCCACATTGATGAATACTACCTGGACTATGTATACATACGCGAAGGACCTGTGGACGAGAATGTATTCTCATTTCTTCCATCGTTGATGAACTGTACTAAGATGCCCGGCGACGATGAAGGCCCGTCGCGCAACCCAAAGCAAGATGTATGTGATTTAATCTTTGCAGTAGATCGGTGGTATCTTTTCAATTTGACTCTTATATACCCATTAGATTCACATGCTTATGCCAGAAGGAACCTCGATAAAAAAGGCACTTTTTGACAATTTTTCGGCGACGTATGATAAAGTTTATCATGATGACAAAGAAGCTGTTCAGCGTATGGCAACATTTCACCACAATCTTCGTTTCATTAATGGAGAGAATCGAAAGGTATTTCACTCAGATGACCGATCATTTATGCGAGTATTGACGCTCGTTTTCGCAGGGGCTTCCATATCATCTTGAGGTGAACAAGTTCGCTGACCTGACCCACAAAGAGCGACTTGAACTGCATCGACCTTCGCGTATTAAACGTGCCAAGGTCAATGGTGCTATGGCTGTGCACAAATTATCGGGTTTCAACGACCCGGGGGACATGGACTGGCGAGCAAAGGGTGCTGTCACGCCGGTAAAGGACCAGGGCGCTTGTGGATCTTGCTGGACGTTTGGGTACGAATAAAGTTTATTTTTTATTAGCTTTGGCTCCTTCTTTTGCTCACGTTCACGTTCTGAAATAAGCACAACTGGCGCGTTAGAGGGTGCAATTTATGTTCAGCAGAAAAAGCTGTTTAATATGTCGCAACAGAACCTCTTAGACTGCTCGTAAGCCATGTGTATGCTCAAATTAGTCCTGTGATGCTAAATGATCTTTGATAATGAATAGATGGGACTACGGTAACAATGCTTGTGACGGAGGCTTTGATTACCAAGCGTACGAGTGGATCATGGCCAACGGTGGACTCGAAACCTCGGCCACATATGGATCATACCGCAATGCGCCTGATTACTGCCACTTTAACAGCGATAATGCAATCGGACGAATGAAAGGTTTTGTAAACGTCACAAGCGTTCAAGCACTCAACGATGCACTGGCGACGATTGGTCCGCTGTCTGTGTCGATTGACGCAACGCTGCCGTCATTCTACTTCTATGGTGGTGGCTACTACGAAGATATTGAGTGCAAAAGCGACTTGGACAGTCTTGACCACTCAGTGCTTGCAGTTGGCGTCACTACGCACAATGGTCAAAAGTATACTTTGGTGAGTGCTTTAAAATTTGTTCATTTTACTGATTGCATACTGATCAAAGTCTCGAGTAGATTAAGAACTCGTGGAGTGTGCATTGGGGTGAAAACGGCTACATCAAGATCTCGCAAAAGAATAATATCTGTGGTGTCGCTACTGCTGCGACTTATCCAGTGCTTGTCGACTAATTTCAAACGCAAACTGTTTAGTTGATCTCAACATTTCGATGTCACCAAGTCAGTAAACACAAAACATTCATAACAGTATCGAATAAACGTTTTGTTGCAATTTACAGCTTCAACGATAATTATAATTTACATTCTCGAATGTCAGCGAGAGGGTAAACGGAGATTGTTTAGCGATTTAATCTCGTGGTTGTCACTGGCAGCTGCGGCACGGTTGCACAGTAGTTTCCGTCATTTTGTTTGATATATACGCGAACACGTGCTTTTCGAGACTTGACGCTGAGATCTACCGGCACACGCGCATTGCGACCATCCAATTGCGGGGCATTCATAAAAGCCGACACGATGAACTCGAAGACATGCGATGGTTGCATGACTGTGCTTCAACTTATTCAAAACTGCTATTTGTATGTATGACGGACATACTACTCTCCCGCTACGATCTTGAGCCTATCAGAACGACGAAATACTGTGAGGTGGACGAATTCGGAGCCATCAATTAGGTGACTCACTGCCCGCAAAATCTGATACTTCTGTGATTCACTCGAACATATCTGACAACAAGTTGACAGACTGCGATCAATATGACGTTACTGTGATGTTCATCATCTGTATACAGTTGACCTCAAGAATCATGTGATGTTCTAACCATAGACCCGTGAAACATTGTATATGCTTTTCATACCACGAATGAACACATATTTCGTCATTTGAATTGTTAGATAATATGGCTGTTTGCTTAAACGAAAAGAATGGAAATTGTGTAGACTACTACGAATATACGAATGTATCGGGCACAAAATGTCAAGTGTTAAATCGGTAGGTTTGAGATTCAGTTTCAATCGGGACGATTGACAATATAGACAACTCTGTATGAATACCACAAAACAAATAAAAGATTGTTAGTTCAGAAGCCCTGACTCTTGGTGGAGAGACATAGAAAAACATCAAATGTAACGGGGTTACATGAGAGTGACCCGTCACTCTCCCAAGGGAGCTGTGGTGTG